CTGTTCTCAGATGGATGGAGAAAATGACTGTGGGAGAAAGTAGAAGGTTCATTGTATTGGACAAAGACAAATGGCTGCTGCTGAATCAAATATGTGACCTTGAGGTTATGAGTTAGCTTGTCCAGAATGACATTCACACAGAGAGATAGGTCAATTCTCCGTGTGACCATAAAGTCAAACTGTTGCTCCTTGCGGCCGTAACTACAAGGCAGTGCAGACATCTTTCTGGGGTGCTGTAGAGACAGAGGTGATTGTCAGGCAGACTACAAGGCGCGGCAATTTGAGAGTGAACCCTCAGCTGTGATAGAGCTCTGGGGCTTCATTAGGAAAACACAGGGGCAGAACCAGAGCGATCCGTTTACACATGTCATAATGACACCCTGTTCTGGCTTTGGCTCGTACCTCTCATATGTAGAAGTTTCGAGTCCCCCCCCCCCATCCCTTTTCAGTCCTTTTCTTCACTTAGCACTGCTATCCTCTGCCAACCAGATGTTGTTGTTCGAATGCAGCAGGAAAGCCTCCTTACTTTGGACCAATCAAAGGCCCTCTTGATTTCACTTGTCACTAGTCCAAAGGGCTGTAACACCAGCCGTCATCCTCACCAGCTGGTATCTCATCATAACAAGATCATGTTACCATTTTACTGTATGTCCCGAGATTAATCCGCTGATATTACAGAGATGGTTTAAATTTCACCTGGCCTGCTTTTCTCTCCATATTGCACTCCAAGCCTCAAAAGGTCAGGGGTCACCTTCGTAATTATGTTAAAAACGGATAGCTGTTGGTCGCGGACCCACAACATAAACCTTTATCTCATACTCCCAGATGTTTTGTGTTGAAGCACAACAAGATTTCCTTTCACTAAATGAGTTCCCACTTTACTCTGTGTCATTTGTTGTGGCTCCATGCATTGCCTTAGTAACCAATACATATGAAATCACAGTGTGCCGCTTGTGCTGTGCAGAAGGATTTATGGCCTTGTGTTGTGTGTAATGGGAGCTGGCTGTCGTATGTGAGTGACTTTAGCTCGCCACCTCTGTGCTCTGAGCTAAACATTGCTGTCCTGTTCTATTGTCTGAACTGCTAAAAGTCTTTTAAAAAAAAAAAAAAAAGTCTCCCACACTGACAGAGTCAGGAGCCAACTGGAGGATTTCACCTCAGGAAACAGCCAGTTTTTTTGTCTCAGTTTTCCTTGCCTTTATTTGGGATATTTTATAGCCCGTGTAATCCGATCCCACCACATGGGTATTCGCTGAGCGTTTGAAACTAAAACGCAATGGGACAGAGGGAGTACAGAACCCTGGTTTGGCCCTTACGTGTGTGCGTGTGCATGTGTGTGTGTGTCTGTTTGTGTTTAATGTGTGTGTTTGAATGAAAGCCTGTGTAAGTGTGTGTAAGAGAGGAAAAAAAGGCCAGATGTTCTTAGTTTGATTGTGCCCCGTGCAACAGTTATCTGAGTGTTGACATGACTAAAAGGTTCATTCTCAGTGTTTATATAGAAAGGGCAGATTAAGGAATGAGTGTCCAGGGTTGCAGAGGTTGATATAACATATGGTGTAAATGGAAATTGCACAGAATAAAATATATGATATCTCACAACTTACTTTGTCTCTCTTTCTCCCTTTCCTTCTTTCTGTTTCTTGTTTTTTTGTACTCCTACCCTGTCTATCTAATAAACAGACTCCCTGTTTAGCACTGTACGGCAGTGCTAGATTCAGTGCCATGCCCTCTTGTGGACAACACCAGTGCTAACACCCTCTAGCCTGTCCCTCAGCCTGTTGGCCCACCAGAGTGTTGCTCTGCCTGCAGACCAGCAGGGTGCCAACCCAGGAAGAAGTCCAGATGGCCAAGTCATCACAAGCCAACATGGGGGAAGAACACAACACAGTCACACATTTTGTCTTGGACCAAAAGGCTGTCGCTGGCTCGTGTGTGTTACATTGTGTTCAGCAAGCGCTTTAAAAGGAGCATCTCAGATCTTCTTCCTGTCTGACATTGCCCTAAAGTGTGTATGCGCGCATGAGTCAGTGTGGCAGCCCAGATGAGCTGCTCCTCCTCCTCCTCCTCCCCTCCCTGCTCCGCACAGCAGACAGGGCTCCGATCAGCCTTGTGTGGTCTTCTCAGATGGAGCCTGAACATGATCTCTTTCCAGGGGAAACGGTTTGTTTTCTCTGCCCGGCTTGCACAAAGAGCTGCATTGTTCCTCTCCCCATATCCCACGCTGACTCCCCACTCCAGGTTTTGGGTTACCTGGCCGACGGGGGCTCAGACTTCATCAGTTTTTTTATTTTTTTGACCGACAGCCAGGAATATAGTATACCCTTCTCTCCTCCACCTTTCCGCCCAATCTAAATACGGTACGCACCAGTTCTGAGGTTTTATCCCTCACAAGTGATTGCCTGTGATTCCCTACTCAGCTCACTTCCTCCAAGGGAAGAAAGACAGTCTGCTGACATTAAGACTTCATCCAGTTTACTCACTGACGAGAGTCCGGCCGGGCTGTCGAGACAGATGATGGAGCAGCCTAACAACCCAGGGGAGAGTCTCCTCCCCCTCCTCTTAAACAATGTAAACTTAAACTGAATATATGAGGGTACACCTACTGATACATAGTAGCTGAGATGGTCTGTGAACACTTTAGACGTCTTGATGACGCTGGTACATGAATGTGTAACGTACAGATCCTCATTCAATATTCACCTGATCTACCAAGTCTCTCATAGCAAATCAGAGTTTGAATCACTTTCAGCACCGAATGCCATGCATGTTTCGTCCCTGCCATTCATGAATGAATGATCCTAATTCTGATTTTCTTGTGGATGATGCTGGTTTTGATCAGCCGTTTCTGAAAAGGAAAGCAACCTTGTAATATTACCAAATGTGGTATTATACCCAAAGGCATCAAATGCTGTAGTATGCAGCGATCAGTATTACAGTTCCCGCTATCAGGGATACCTATTGAGATTTGATCCAGCTAGATCACTTAGCAGCTTGTCAACACTTGTTCCTTTGCAAGATTTCAGTTTTGTAGTCGACACAGATACTATTTGATGTTATATTAACTTATGGATGAAGCATCTGTAGATTTTCACAAAAATGCTTTATTTCTTCTTTTTTTTGTTTGTTTGTTTTGTTCTTTTTCTTTGATGATTTTCATTTTATGAGTGCCTGAACTCTCAAACGCCTCTTGTCCATATGTTAATATGCTGTAGCCCCACTAGAGGGCATTGTTTGCCTTTGTAACTTTGCACCTGAGCAGAAAGAACCAGGAGGCCATAAGACAGTCTGCTGAAACCCAATGCAATCACTCAGTGCCATCAGACTGATGTGACTGATAAGCCAAGGAGGCGGCTTTTCCTTTACATCTCGCCATTATTTTATCTTTAAATTCAAATATTGCCATTTGCCACACTCACAGCAGTGTCAAACCAAGGGTGCAGTCAGCTGCATTTCAACGCCTTTTAGTGAACAGTTCAGCACTCCCCTGAGTTAAACTAAGCAGTCCCTTTGACCTGCTTGATGCTAGAATACCGCCAGATGTGGCCCACCCCAGCCATCATTCCAAAATCACTTACCTATCCGTTTGTGGGCATGCGTGTGTGCATGCACGGATATGTGGCAACACATTTCACCGTCTCCTCACTCATTCCAGCCCACTTCCCCCACCACAGATCATGCCTTTAAGTCAGTGTCATTCTTGGCTGGTAAGGGGACTTTCTCGCTTGTATGGCGCAGTGATGACATCATTTCATACAAATAGCTGCAGTGTCAACAGGAGATCTCCGACTCTGACGGCAGAGGCCAAAAAGTAAACAATTCAAACTGCCATCATTAGTTTCACCATGTTTAATCAATGCCTTTCCTCACCTCACCCAGTATCTGTGTCACCTCAGAGTTTTGACAGAAACCCCGTTTTACCAGACGTTTGGTTGCTTCTTGCTTCACCCAGAGGTACTTTCTGACCTTCCCTGTCAAAGTCACTATCTGACAAAATGTTTGTATTCAAATAAAGATTAAATAAGAGCATTGGTGAAGACCTCTTTGTAAAGTGAAATAAATAAAAGTTATTCTAAGATCAAAGAAACTTCTGCAGTTTGTTTATTTAATTTATTTAAGTTTTTATTTTAAAAAATGTTGGTGGGGGGGGGGTTTCTTCTTTTTTGTGAGGCATGTTGGTTTTGTAATTATTAAACTCGTCATACAGCTTTATAAACCGTGTGCTAACAGGTTCTGGTCAGTAAATGCCTATTTTTAGTGGAAGCCTTTCTGAAAGGCAACGCATCAACATTCCAGAAATAGTGGAAGTCGACCATCTTTGCAGTGACGGTAAATCAGATGAATGAGATAAGAGAGCAGGAATTCCGGCTTTGTGTGGACCTACTGGGAGCCGTGACTGGACGATTCTGGGAGGGCAGCGTTGGGGGGGGGGGGGTTAACTTCCAGGTTTTCAAGTTAGGGGTTGAAACTGCAGGACGGAAGTTTTCCACAATAATAACAGGGCAGGGGATATGTGCGGGACTTGCTTGCAGGAAGTCACCCACAATTAGACAGCACTAACCGGATGTAAAAACTATCCTATAAAATAAAGGCATTAAACAACCGAAAAAAAACGCTATCAAATAATAATGATCATCATCATCACCATCATCATCATTATTATTATTATTATTAGTGATATTAGTAGTAGTAGTATTAACTTTATTTAATCAAGTTAAAATGATATTAATAGAAATGTTATAGAAACGTTTCTAAATGACCTTGAGAGGTTATTTAGGTTATTTATGAAAGATGATTTATCATTCACTTGTTTTACTGTCCATATGTATGGACAAAAAAGATTTGCAAGGTTTGGAAAAAGACAATTTCATAATGATTGATATCTTCCCAGATTTTTATAATTTATTTAGTCTTATTTAAGTCTTCGCCTTAAGATTTACGCAGTTTCTCACGACTTTTATGTTGATAGTTGCAACCGGAAGTCAAACTTGTGTTCTCCTTGCTTGACTAATCTTTGTTACAGGTTGAGCATGTTGGGTCGACTGATTTAGTTTTACCTGCCTGCCTGATAGCAAGACGACACTTATCTGAAAGTGAAGTTTACCTCGACACACCCGCTTGGTTTTCACTTGCGTGCGTGTCTGTGTGACCACTAATGAAAACTGGGCGAGACGGTTTGTTTGGGCCTTGGATAAATAATTAACCAGACAACTCAAGCCGCAGTTTCAAGAGCTGACATGAGGAGTTGACGCAAAGCAAGAGCGAAGTGCGCCTCTATCGCCAGCCTGTTACCTGAGCGAAAACAACAGGCTCGCAGGTGTTTTTGTTTCTTTTATATTTTTCTTTATATTTTTAATGACATTTGAACTGGATACACTTCATTGTAATAATGCTGGGAGCGGAGAGCAGATTGGAAAGCCGGCTGAAGAAGCTGGAGTCCCTGATAAGGAATCCACAGTCGGCACTAAACTTGGCAACCCTGCTGGTGAGTTTACATTCACCCTGAAGCTCTAATACAAGTATGGTCTTCAGACTGAGAGATAGGGAGTGAGTTAGACACATATTTGTGAGTAATTAGTCTGTCAGTCATCTGAGAAAAAAGTTTTTAGAGGAAGGTCTTACAGTAAAAACAATTTAAAAAAAAAAGTGAAATTGTTGACCTGTAGCCTTAATCACGCAGAAAATGATAAGAACTAAGGTTAAGCTAATCATACTCCTTTGGCCTTTGTAGCAGAGGGAAACCCCACCTTTCCTGTATGGAATGCCATACACTCCTCCCTAAACAGAATTATTAAATGGAAAATGCTGCATAGTAATAATTAGATGTGATAGTTTTCCAACTCACTGAAGCTGGAAGTCATTCAAATGAGTGAAGGAAGTTCCAATGAAACTTACAATCTGATCAGCTATGAACTACATTCACTCCTCCCTTTCCCTCACTCAGTCAATGCCTGTCTGGGGTTACCTGTTCAGGGGTCTGGTGTGGTGGCCTGCACTGAGAACATATTCAGCTCAGCTGCTCACACTCCTCAAGCCTCAATCTTTGAGAATAAATTCAGGATCTCACAGCAGGCTGTCTGTAGTTTTCCATTTCTATGTAGTGCTGATCTGCAGATTTAAAATAGGCTTAATATTTTCATCTTGACAACCCAGAGTTAGCTTTGAGAACGTGTCTAGCCTGGATCAACTTTTGTAAGCTGTTTGCAGTAACACTTTGACTCAGCAAAAAGCCAGTAGAGTCTGTTTACTGTTTAAGTTATTCATTTGCTTCACACACATTTGATATTGACAGAACACCATAATCCACGGCTTTTAGTGACATTTGGAGCATTAAAACATATAAATCATGCTGAGGGATTTATATATATTTTTTAAATCTGTCCAAACAAATGTGACAGTTTACCAGATTTCATGCCGTATGCACCTGCTGCCTAAACAAAGCAGCCCTTTGGTCCATGTCTATTCCCAGTGCTGAATCATGATCCAAAAGTACAATCTCCCTCAGATGTACAACAACAGACCCAGGTTACATCATTCTGTGACATAATCAGGCCAAAAAAATTATGACAATTAATTTTAGCCCGTGTCAGTCATCACTCCAAAGTTCACTAGTAGTCATGTTTGATTTTTATCACTGTGCTCCATGGCCATCATGCTGCTTAAAATGCAGGGAGCTACCACAGGAAGCTGAAGTCACTTCCTGGAATTAACCTGCTGTGCCCTCATGTCACCATTTCCTGTTTGTCCACTGTTATTTTTCGTATATATACGTTGTTTTTCTTTTCTTTTCTTTAGTACAATACAAATTTAGACTTCTAATAGAATAACCTGTTGTCTTTTATTTTTGTGTTAATGCTTTTGCTGGGTTATTGATGGCCAGTAAAGGAAAACCTAAACCCCAGAGAAAAGGTTTGAATGTTTGAGGTCTATGGAATGCTTTGAAATCCTAATGAGTTCACAGTAACTGAACAAAATAATGTGGTTGAGTCGCAGATCATTATAATCGAGAACGATGCACTTCAGTCGGTAAATTAATGTTAGCTGTTGCGCAGTGTCATGGCATTCTGTGTCAATTAACTGAGCAATTAATTGTGCAAGGATAAGGATTTAAGACATGAGAATATTTTTGACAAACGAGTACAAATGGATAAATAAATCATGTATAATTAGTCCAGTCAGCTACACCTGGGCACCATATTTATCACAGAAGTATCACAAACAATAAAACTTAAAACTCGTTACTGTTTTTGTTTTTTTTCTGTCAATATATCAATAGTGGATGGTCATATTAAATATAAGCAATGTTTCAGACTGCTCTACACACTCCGTTCTAGATTGTTTATTTCCATTTATTAGATCTATTGGTTCCTGTCAGAGAGGGCTGATATCCCTAGTATGGTCATCTCAGATACATTATGCTCCCTCTGGCTGGTAGTGCATGAACCCTTCCCATGTGCTGCTAAAGCCTTCTGTTTGTGAGGCTGCAGCCAATCAGAAAAAAGTCATCTCGAAGGAAAAGGAGCTAAACAGGTCGATTTAGACAGGATGAACTGATGGGCTATAACAAGGTTCAGTATAGAGTGAATAAGGGTTATTTTTAACCATGAATCATGCAGAGTGAATTGTAGTGCTGTTCAAAGCTAAAAGTTTGGTCCCCTTTAAAGAGCCCATCGGGGACTGCAAAAAATAATAATTGCAAATCAGCTACTAAATATACAAAGCATAAACAGGATTGTCTTGTATGTTTTGGAAACGTCTATTGAAACGAGTGCCACAAAGTTCCTGCCAGACGTTCAAACCAGAGGAGTTTCTAAACCCTGCAGTTATTGACCTTTATGTAGTTTTGCTTTATGCGCTCGACCGCCCTGTTCAACTCTGTTTACTTCCTCGCCGAGTTGCTGTGGTCCTCGATACCATACTTCCGCTTTGCGATAATACCACTTACAGCTAAACACAAACAGATCTAGTAGGACAATGGCATCCCATTACAGTACCATGCTCAAATTCACTGGGCTGTTTAAAACGATCCATTCTTTCACAAATGTTTGTAAAGGTAGCCTGCATGGCTAGGTGCTCGATTTTATACACCTGTGGTAATGGGACGGAAACACCTGAATTCAAATGTGAAGAGGCGTGGCCCTACACTTTTGCCCATATAATGCATCATTGGTCCATTTATGGCACAATTGTGGAAGCCATAAACACAATTTTTAGTTTCTCATCGGCATATTTACATATCACATACTTATTTTTATAACATATTCACTGAATATTCCAGTAAATGTGCTTTTTTTTGTTTACTCTCTTAACCATGAAATGACTGATAGTGTTTGTAGTGATGGAATCAGACCTACGTGACAGCTCCCTAGTAAAGATTTAAAAACGTGTATGGATCAGACACCCTGTATATAAGAACAAAAAACCCTTAAATCTGGGATCAGTAGAACAGTTGAAGGCATGTCTGTTTTGTGTCTGGTGGAGGCTGGATCTGGATGGGCCGAGTACATTTTGATGCATCCTGAGCAACTTGATTAAGCCATTGTTGACGCTTGACTATGTTGACAGTATCAGCTCACACTGAAGTGGGTGGAAGGTGCTCTCTCAGGAGGCGAGAACAAGCCATGAAGACTAAACTAGAGAATCATGTTCAGATTTGTCGAGATTCCAGTGAAAGACAAACATGCTGGGTCTAATCATTTTCGCCTTTTACTGGTCTGAGACTAAAATAAGAGGGGAAGCATTTAAATCTTAACCCCTTTACGTCACTTTACATCACACAGAGTGATTTTCTAGAATTAAACAGTGTAGGATAACAAAAACACTCAGTGATCAAATGTCTAAATTGATGTCTAACAGGATAACACAATGACGTGATGGCTTTTTATATCCAAACGAATTTGGTCTGATACCTAAATGGGTTACACCAGTCTTTGGCGTCCATTGTTTTCTTTAGGAAAAACACAGTTGAAAATAAGATGTTAAAATATGTTGTTATGCTTAGCTGCTTTAGCTTGGGGATCCACTGCCTTGCACAATTACAGTTCTCCTTAAATGGAATACAACCAGCATGTGTTCATGTTTCCATTTTCATGTTTCCGTATGAACGTATTGATATGTAATCGGGATTTATTTATTTATTTATTTTTAACCTGAAGCTGTATGCTTAATGCATCAAGGTGTGATGGACCTTGGTTCCCACTTTAATCTTGTTTTAACTTGTATACCCTGATCACAGCTATATAAATCCCTTCGTGAATCTTTTTATTGTATGCCTTTTGTATCAGAAACAAAAGCAGTGGCAAAAGATGCAGGAACTCACTTTAAATTTATTTTAGAAAACAGAACTCGGATACCAAGCTGCAAAAACCTGAACAAGTCCTTCATGATTTTAGTCACACATTGCAACAAACTACAGGCGCACCCTGTTTGAAACTGCTAACATTACACTGTATTTGCATATTACCATCACTGAAACTCTTTAAAACAAAGTTCCCATAGTGCTGCGATAATGACGACCGTTACACCAGTTGATCTTTTGTAAAATGATCACCTATCCTCGAGCTCTCAGCCTGAATCCAGGTCCATAAGCTGTTCGTCCCACAATAGCTTCTGAGCCTTTAGGTCTATTTCCACCCATGTGTGGTGGGGGAGATCGCTCCTCGCTGCTGCTATTTAAAGGTGCAGAATTGTTCCACATGCCCCTTTCCACTCACTCATATGTCCTAGAACAAACAGACAACCAGATACAGCCCCTACACTCGCTGACATGCTGGATGACTCAACACGACCCCTGTTTTTTAGGGAACAGAGATCATAGCACACTCTGACCTACCCCGCCTCACCGCCCCACGCACACACCCACACCCTACCCCCACCCAGCTCTGCCCTGCCATCCTGATGCATGTGGATCACAGGCACATTTTGGTTCAACTTGAAACACAACACCCCCGATTTAAGCACTGACACTGCTGAGGCTCCAGCTTTAACTCTGACAGTGCCACAGCTCCACTGTGCTTTACTGGAGCTGGTGTCGGTGGGCCTGATGGCGGGTCTGTGTGTTTATGGAAGCGACCGAAACATGAACACGCGTCTAATTTTATTTGTTGTTGCACGACATGTTTTGTCTCCATGTCCAGCCTCCATTGTTCTTTTGTGTTTGTTTTGGTTTAGCGGTCTGATTTTGTTTCCCCACTTGTTTACATTTTGGAGTGTTCTTACCGCCATCTTTATTTCATTAAAGATGTTTGCTTTTATTAGCCAGCACAATGTCGGAGCTTCCCGACTTTCATGAATTGTCTTGACAATATAATGATAAAGAAATTATTTAAATTTCATTAATTTTCCGTGAATATTCAGCTCAACTTAAGGAATATTCCCATTTTTGAATGATACTGGTGTTTCCACTGTACACTGACATTGATTTTTTTTTTGTTGTTGTTAATTAACCACTATTTCTAAATGTTAATTTTCGTTTCTAATAAAAACTTCTTCTCTCTTTTGTCCTTCAGGATTCCATGAATGCACTGGTCAATGACTTGAATTACCCCCCCTTACGGAAAAACAAAAACATAGAGTCCTTTCTGAACAGATGTAAGTTCTCGTGTGTGTTTTGCATTTGTGTGTCTTAGTGATGAAAACCATGACTTTTTAGATTGTGCAAGACTTTCCCTGTTGTCCAGCATCAGATTTGGGATATAACATGTGCACTGTTTCTTTAAGAAGGTAAAAAGAGAGGTATATGAAAGATTTCCCTGGTGTTGCTATTCAAATTAACATTTTTGGGGAGATTAACAGATTTTTCCTGCCAAAACCTTAGTAATTGATATGTGGTCGTGTTGCATAGCCTTGTCCCCCCCCCACCAAATAATTTTTTTATTTAAGGTGGTGCAGTCACATTCAACCTAGAAAATCTGGCAGAATGTAGTGACTATAGCTAAATGTGACATTTCATTTCTTAAAAATCTACTTTTATGTTAATTTGTTCAACATGTATAACATGTTTTCTCCAAAACTACTGCAGTAGATTTCATTAGACTGGGAAAGTGTTAGATAAAATCAGCTTTATCTTTGTCTAATCTCGTGTATGTGTCTCATCTGCAGATAAAGACTTAGTGAGTGAGCTGCGAGAACTTCAGATGAAGCTTGATGACTTTGAGAAAGTCAAGCTGATCGGAAAAGGAGCTTATGGACAAGTGCAGCTGGTGAGTTCAAGGGATCAATAAGAGGTTGTCTGTTGACTTGCGCTATTTAATTTTAAACTGCGTTCTGTGGAAGAGCAAAGCAGTGTGATATAAAGGTAGAATTTCTCCAGTTGTTCCTAAATCCAGCAGCTACCAGAAATATTTGAACCACTAGAGGGAGCAACAGTCTTTAAAAATACCAAATGTGTGATTTTTTTTTTTTATATAACTTGATTTTTTGTTTTTGATTTTATTTTAAATTGCCAACGTGCCTGACTCCAAGTTTAAGCCAATCAGTACATTTCTTACTCTCCCTAACTTTCAGTTTCCCATATATCTGCATCTTATGCTGGTAGAATCTGGTATCTGCTGAGTCTCTTGGGTGGAAACAAGCCTGGACAGGCTCAGTGTGTGAGAGATGTCTGGTGTGGGGGTGTGGATGGGGGACATGGTATGTTTGTGTTTGAAATCTTGTGTAAACATGTCTTTCTATGGGTGTGTCCTACAATTATGGCTTCCCATCTCTGTGTCTGTTTCTCTTCATCTCCTGCGTTATCTTAGTCACTGTGACCTTCTTACAATCTTGTCCATATTGTCCTTGTTGACATATCACTATTTACATTCTCACATCTCTCCTTTTTTGTCACATCCTCCCCTGCAGGTCCGTCACAAGGCCTCTAAGAAGGTTTATGCCATGAAGCAGCTCAGCAAGTTTGAGATGATCAAAAGGTCAGATTCGGCCTTCTTCTGGGAGGAGAGACACATCATGGCCTTCTCCAACAGCCCCTGGGTCGTCCAGGTGTGTTTTTTGTGTTTTTTTTCTACAAATATTCATAAGATGTAGCACTGGAGAACATATAGAACAGAAGTTTTAACTCCTTTCAGCCACAGAGGTTTTCATAGATATATTTTGTTCACAGTAGAAGACAGAAAACACACCAAATGTTTAAACTGAAATGTTTTAGCGTTTCATGAAAAACAGTAGCCCATTTTGAATGGCAGTAACACATCTCAAAAAAAGTTGTGAGAGGGCAGCAAAAGGCTGGGAAATTAAGTGATGCTGAAAAGAAACAGTGTGCAGCTAATTAGTTTAATTAACAACGGCTCAATAACATGATAAAAAGAACAGAGTTTCTCTGAAAGATGGACAAAAGTTCACCAATCTACAAAAACATACTGCATCTACCAACTGTGCAACAATTTTAGGATAACGTTTCTCAATGAAAAAATTGTGAATACTTTAAATATGTTATCAGGATTTATATTTATAGCGTATCTGAAGAAATCTCTGTGCACGAGAGAGAAAGCTACATCGCATTAAAAACTGGCCTCATTCGGTCATGGAAATAAGTACATGGACGCAGGAACACCTTCAGAAATCACTGACTGTGAACACAGTTCACTGTGCCATTCATAAATGCCGGCATTTATTGAAGCATTCTGTATGGTAAATACACTACAATAATAAACATAAAGCCATTTAAAATGGTCCGTTACAGGCCCATAGCACGTTTTTGGCTTATTCTCAACCGATCCCTGGCTTGATGTCAGGATAATGAGCTCCTCCATGTGACGTAGTCAATACAGTGCTGACTGGTAACACCCCTACGCAGCATGTGGGAAAACCGGTCATACTGTTTTGTGTCTCTACTCAGTGATGCTGCAATAAAGGAAGTTCACACATTTACAGCGTGCTATATTTATGCATTTTAAAACTGGTATCATAGAATCATAAAGCTGAAACTTTCTGTAGAACATTGTTATAGGTTGATATTGATATATATTTTTTGTGTGTGTCAAATATAAACTAGGTTGTTACTGGTTGTTTCTGTAGATGGTAATCAAATAATTACATTCGCGCACCACCAAGCTCTAAAACATTTAATAATTTATTTGGAATTATTGTTATTGCATGCACTAGGTACTGATAGTAGGTACAGATGGCAAGCACTTTGTCAAAACAAGCGGTGTAATCAGATGGTCCGAGTGTTTAGAGATGGCATATGGAGATTATATTAAAATAAATGAACAGTAAAACAGTTGGGTAGGGATGCAAGAATATTTTTATGATAAGAAAATGAAACGAATGATTTGTGGAATAGACCAATAGAACCAATATATAGTAAGAGTCTTGTTATATCGGATGAGGTAAAAGCAAACAGCGTGCTTGTTAAATGAGATCCAATTTAATGCTGCCTTAAAGACCCGGAGATAAAACATTCATCATGAGTAATCAAATAATATATTAAGACAGCACAGATGATATTTATGTTTACATCGCAAAGCAGTACCTTCTGTTTATACACCTCAGTAATAACCTGGCACCATATCAGCATTAAGTTTGAGATAAAAAAGTAATCAATGATATTGTAATTACTCGTTACTGTTTCGTAGCTATGCTGTGCTTTCCAAGATGATCGGCACCTTTATATGGTGATGGAATTCATGCCCGGAGGAGACCTGGTCACACTCACCATGAACTACGACATCCCTGAGAAATGGGCTCGCTTCTACACGGCAGAAGTAGTGCTGGGGCTAGACGCCATCCACTCGATGGGCTTCATCCACCGCGACATTAAGCCTGACAACATGCTGCTGGACCAACACGGACACCTCAAACTGGCTGACTTTGGCACATGCATGAAGATGGACTCGGTATGTCGAGTTTCTAGTTGTGTCACAAACCTTCTGAGTTAGTTGAAAGAAGAGGAAAATGCCATTTTGATTATTCAGAGCTTCAGTGCACCACCAGGTGTTCAGATGGTGAAGTGAAGCTCTTACATCATGTTGTTTTGAAAGGCCACAGAAGTTATGTGCTAAACAACTAGTCTCGAGTGAGGCGGCAGTCCCGCCTCTGCTGCTGTGGGACAGGAAGTGTTTTTCATCCTTTTGTTTTCACCACAGCAATTTCAAAATAGCTCATTTCACTCATTTGAGCTCTCTGAATATCTGCCAGTAGACAGAGCATGTCATGCAATTCCTTCCCTAGTCTCAGTCTGGTAAAGAAACTTGAAATGGTCTTAAAACACATTTCGTTTGTGGTCCACATGGTAAAAAATTTTTAAAGAATTTTTTGCATAGTTGTTGTCCCAACATCTAAAGATTTTGAAAGAAAATATAGTAAAACAATTTTAAGCTAGTTTCACAAGCTCATTGATCCACACTATGATTTTGCTTTTGCTTTTTTTTTTAAACTTTTTTTCTGCTTTCTGTCCAAAGTCCTTTCCAATCTTTTATTATTGCTTTCCTGTGTGTTATGTTGTAAATTCATCTTTCTGCAGACAGGTATGGTGAAATGTGACACAGCTGTAGGCACACCAGACTACATCTCCCCCGAGGTTCTCCAGTCTCAGGGGGGTGATGACTACTATGGCCGGGAGTGTGACTGGTGGTCTGTAGGAGTATTTCTCTTTGAATTGCTAGTTGGTAAGTTATGTACTGTTCATTCAGTTAAGCTTTTATTAAGAAAGCAAACATGATTTAATTCCCATTACATGTATAATTCAGCCCAGGCTGTTCTGACTGTAACCAGATAATGAGAGGTCAACTCAACATTACGTTATGTTTTCTTGCTGTTTGGATATTATGTAACTTCCTTTATGTTAGTAATTATAAAAATGTAAGTTTTTGCTCAAGCTCTCGGATCTGTGTTTTGAGAATTTGACCTCTCATTCTTCTTCTAGGTGAAACTCCTTTCTATGCCGAGTCCCTTATCGGAACGTACGGAAAGATTATGAACCACCAGAACTCGCTCGTATTCCCAGATGATGTAGAGATGTCTCAAAATGCCAAAGATCTCATCTGTGCCTTCCTTACTGACAGGTTTGTATATGAAACCATAGATTATACTGTAAGCCCTTGTTTTTGTAATGTAACAAGAATTTGGTAGTAAAAAGGGAAAATACTATATTAAGGACTATTTCAAGCTTTTATATACAAATAATGCTGGATAATTTGGGGCTTTTTTGGATATCTGTCCTTTAAAATAAATCCTGTCATTAATTAGCAGGCTGAAATGTTAGTAAAGCATAGAACTGATCAAACAGTGCATAGTACATATAACCTTGTTAACAAGGTTTATGAATTTACATTAGAGATAAATACAACACTGTAATAAAAAGCCTTTAAGCAATGAGGTGAACCATATGTCAGCAACACTAGCAAAAGCACAGGCGATTCTGAATGTAATGCAACGACCACCAAGCAGTCTGATTAGCACACAGTGTTTAGAGAAATAACCCCAACAATCGGACAATCCCCTATGAGGAAGCACTCGACGACAGTAGGAAGGAAGAACACAATTTGTCAGAAAGAATCCTCACAGACCCAAGTTCAGGGAGAAGCCGCTGTTTGCCGTGGCTGCCTGTGGGGTGAGCGGAAGACAAAGGAAAGCACTAAGTGATAAAAAACATAAGCGTATATTTGCCTGCAAATACACATCATCGCGGTATTGTTCTTTGTTTCCTTGGATTGATCCTGCACTTTAGATTTCCTGCCGGACATATATTGTTAACCACAGGGATGTCTGCCCATGACTCACAAAGTAACTGAGAGGCATGTCTAAGGAGCTTGGAAAGAAAAGCGTCTGGACTTCTTTAAGTTGCTTGAAGACTGATTAAGATACCTTACAAATTAGTTGTAAAGGTAAAAGTTGGATGAATGGGCATATGGGTCCATCCATCCATCCATCCATCCATTCGCTTCCGCTTATCCTTTTCAGGGTCGCAGGGGGCGCTGGAGCCTATCCCAGCTGTCATAGGGCGAGAGGCGGGGTACACCCTGGACAGGTCGCCAGTCTGTCGCAGGGCTAACACACAGGGACAGACAACCATTCACACTCACATTCACACCTAATGGCAATTTGGATTTTCCAATTAACCTATCCCCACAAGCTGCATGTCTTTGGACAGTGGGAGGAAGCCGGAGTACCCGGCATATGGGTCATGTTTCTGAATAGTGTCCCCTCCCCTTGAAGAAACCACTTCCTGTTTACATTAGTAACTCTGCCCACGACAGGGCTCGAACACAGGCCCTTTCTGCTTCAGTACAGAGCAGCCTTTCATTTTTCCTCACTCAGTTTATTTACCTTCTCACTCACTGCTCTCTCACCACAGACAGAATCTCGCATGTGTGTACGACTGACACACACACATCTTGAACACTGACTACTGACTGCATTCACCACTTAACCTACATGCTCCATCACTGTCTCCTCATTATGCTGAATCACATGAGTAAGCACAACCACCCTGCTCGTTTTGGAATTTTTCATCTCTCTTTTCTCACCATGTGTTTTTCATCGCTTCATTTGTAAATGTCTTCCTCCACCTTTTCTCTGTGCCACTTTCCATTTCTTGGTTCTCCCTTTTCGTCTGTAACTTTCTCCTTTGCAGTTTTCTGGGCATCGAGACATGGCTTGTAACCCTGATTTGGCTGCATGTCACTTTTTCATGCAGAGGTTTTAAAGTCGCTCCTTTTTTTTTTTTTTCCTCCCCACCTCTGCCCTCTCTTCCCCTTGGCTGGATCTGGAATGTCCCACACGTGGCAAGCCCAAACTGCCCCACCCCTCCAACCCTGTACCCAGAGGTGGAGGAGGGAGGCGAGGGGATGAGGCAAGAGGGAAAATGAGTGTGTGTATAGATTCAGTGAGAGAGAGAGAAGAGAAGGAGGGAAGATCTAGGAGTTCTTGAGTCAGAATTGTTGATGTTCCTGCCTGGTATCCAGTCCTCCTGTCTTTACTGCTTGGAACTTGGACTGAAGAGGTTTTCAGGCGTATCCATTGTCCAACAGCGGTCTGGTGGCTCTCCATGCTGGTCAGTGTGGTCAGTGCAGAGTGGTCACGCCGCTAAGTTCCATGTGTTTGGGATGACATGTTTGTGATGGTGGGTGGAGAGGAGGGAAAGGGGTGTGCTGTACTGCGTTGCACTGTGTCACACTTAGGCAAACCTGCTCACCGTCTGACTGCTTGTTCCTGTCGCTGTGTGCAGGAAGGTTCGTCTGGGCCGCACCGGAGTGGACGAGATAAAATGTCACCCCTTCTTTAAGAACAACCAGTGGACCTTTGACAACATCCGTGACAGTAAGTGTATCCATATACTTGTCTTTAAAACTTCTCTCTATATTATGCCACAATGCAGGAGCATCATACATTTCCATTTCTGGTAATGTGCAAATGTTTTTCTTTTTCACGGTTTGTTGCCGTTCCCATTGTTTTGCTTCTCTTATCATCTCCAGCCCATTCCTCTGCAGTTCTGTTTTGCTTCAGTCTGAGTTCGAATTTTATTTCCAGCTCCTGAGTCATTAAGCCTACTTGTATGGTACACATGCTCTCCATATGCTCGCCATTCATATCTGACAGTATATGACAGGGTGCTTTGCAGAGCAGGAGAGAACATTATGCAGAATAATCAGCTACGTATGGGTACCAGTCTAAAATCATAAATTGGTGAGTGTACTGAACATATTGAAGTCCTGCACCACGTGTGACTGGATAAAAGGAACACTATGTTGTAGCTTAAGGTGATAGATAGATAGATAGATAGATAGATAGATAGATAGATAGATAGATAATATAACAGAATGATTTACTCACAGGTGTATTAGGAAAAGAATAAAGAGAAAAAATCTTAGCTATTTAATACTATAATTGTTAAATCAGTACCAATGTTTGTACTTTAGTATATTTTTTCTTTTCTTTTTTTTAAATTTAGGTTTAGACTGTTTGTATCAGGAAGGACAAAAGAAACAAGAAGGAGAAAAAAATAAGAAAGGGATATATTAGAAGTATGAGCTGGACCTCTGTGTCTGTACATAAGTACATTCAGACTCTTTTTCGTTGCCTCGCCCTGTCTCAGCCTCACCTGGCTCCGATTAAGGCAGAACTTCTGATCACAGCCTGGCAATCTGGAACACGAAACCATTGCTCTGCTGCTCGCCTCTCTTCATGTTTGCATGTGCACGCTCATGCAACCACTCCAAACACGACCTTGCTTCCATTGTGAAGTCCCGCTGAGCTGCACATCCCTCTCGGCCTTTTGTGTCTAAGGGTGATATTACTTCCCGCAGCGTCTGGGCCCTGATTTCAGCGCTTTATCATTTGAGTTGTCTTCATGTTTATTAAGCACAGGATTGAAGGCAACGAAACCAGCACCACGGGTCGTTGGATGGATGCTTGGCAGGATGAATGAATGAATGGATGGATGAATGCGACTGGAGGCAGCACCCCCCTTAGCGGCGGGTGGGGCAGGCTGTGCGGCCTGTGTGGACCGGTCTAATGAGAGGGGCGTCCCAGTTTGGAGGGTTGCTCCCGCTCTCTCACTCTCTCTGTGGCCGTGGCTGCCTGTCATTAGTCACCCGCTATCAGAGAGCATTCTGGGAAGTTATGCCACAAGGGCCTCCATTGAGCGCCCTGAGTCTCTTTCTGTCTCACCACATTTTGGCTTTTTTTTTTTCTATCTCTTCTTTTTATTTCCCCCTCATTTGTTTCATCCCTGCGCTTGATTTCTCTCTGTGTTTTCTGCACCATCTTTGAGTCACATTTGTCACACTGGGGGCTGTCTTGACCCGCAGTAATAAGCTCTTTACTCAGAGCCAGAACTGCGCTGGTCTGAAGAACTTCATCCAAAATCGCTGCTCTTTTTCCTTTTTCTAATTAGGATCTATTTTTAGGCTCGAGGGCTTGCTTAGTTTTATCTGATTGGCCCTTTAACACATTTTTGTCTGCAGACTTTTAGAGTCAGTCTTGTGAAAAGAGAGCGTAAAAGGAACCTTCTCTCTTGGCATGGCTTGTGAAAGGCGCTGTGTATGGGGCACAAAGCAAGCACTGTACGGGAAAAGGAGTGGTGTCAGGCTCACGCCAACCTGCAGACTCCTAAAGTAACCAAAGCCAAAATGGACATGCATTTATTCAAATTGCTGAAAAAAAATTTGTACTCAAATGTCTTTGATGTATTTTAATTTTAAATCCCCAAGCACAGGATTGTTTTCAGTCTGATTTTATGTAAAACAGCAGTTTTCTCTTTGCTTTAACCCTCCTGGTTTGCACCTCCTTCGTTCCCCTTTTTCGCTTCATGACTCTTTCCCTCTCTTCCTGTCTTCCAGCTGTGGCCCCAGTTGTGCCAGAGCTGAAAGGTGACATAGACACCAGTAACTTCGATGACATAGAGGTTGAGAAAGGAGATGTTGAGACCTTTCCTCCACCCAAAGCCTTTGTTGGCAACCAGCTACCATTTATTGGTTTCACCTACTTCAAGGAGGATCAGTAAGTGTTTGAATCTCATATTTTTATTTTACTTTAACTCTGCTTTTGTTCTTAAGTATTTGATATGTTCATGTTTGCGTTCCTTTTAGTTTTCCTTTCTTTTCTTTTTTATAAATTGAGATTTTTGTGCTACAAAGCTCAACATGTGTAGATATTTTGCAACGGGCTTTTAGAACAACACTGTGCTTAAAATATGAGAGAAAAAGACAGCTTCACGCCCATGCCTCACCAGTCAGACACTGCAGGCCTGTTAAAACTCCACACTGCTGCCTTGTTCTGACAGCCTCTTTAACTGCCCTTGTCGCCTGTGATGAATCCTGCTTTGTAAACCCTGTTTTTGTTCAGCAAAAAATAGAATGAAACAACACTTGCAGGTTCAACCGCCGTTAAGGCAGCAATCACCCAAACAAAGCTATTGTGTTAAAAACAGAAGCGTTTATTGTTCAAGACATATTATCTGGATAAAATTCACTTTATAAATGGCTAAGGCAAGTTGGTTGTGAAGATCAAAAACGCCCACAGTTTTCTAATCGTCATACATGAAACGCTGTGCTCACAATCCGTTTCAATAGATTAATTTATACCCTTTAAAGATCTGCCATAATCACACAAAGTCAAGTCTCAATAAGCAAAGAATCAAAAACAAAATAGAAACTTCACAAAATAACTCAACTTCAAAAGATAAAGAAACAAACCTGTCTTTATCACAGCTGCTCATCCACGCTTCTGGACCTAGTCAGTTAGATGAGCTTCAGGTTACCTTTTCTGTACCCATAGGTACATTTGGTCTTCTGTACATGAGTCATCTATGCTCACATGCACATTTTCAAAATAAACCCAGACAGCAGGTATGCTGAACGCGTTCTCCACCAGAATAAGATATCATTCTCTCTCTTTGCAACATCATTAGTGATCATTTTTCGTAGCGTTAACAACAGCTGAGCCAGTCATGTGCGTGGGAGACTGAGCCATGAAATTTGTTCTGTGGTTAACCAGCCGGTGCCCCTTATCACCAGTCATTTTCCTGACCAACGTCGCTTCCATCTGGCTACACAACAGTGCAGCTATTCCCAAATACCACAGGAGCTGCTTCTGCAGTAAAACAGCTCAATTAAATGGCTCATGTGTTACAATCAGTGTTGGCCAAGTTACTTGAAAATAGTAGTTATTAATTGCTGATTACTTTTCCAAGAAAGTAATCCTATTACTTTACTGATTACGTGTTTTTAAAAGTAATTAGTTACTTTATTACTTAGCATGATACACAACCTGAAAACATTATAAAGCAGTAGACCTTTCAGCCCAATTTTATTTTTTCTGCATAATCCATCATATAAATTGAATCAAATGAAAAAGTCCCTTATTAAAAATTGTTTTATTAGTTTAAATCTTTTAACTTTATGCACATTGCATCAAGAAAAAATTAAATCTGAAGAAATTTGTTGAACATTTAAACCTATTTTCTACATATTCCTGCATATGTGTTCACACTCGCTCTTTCAAATAGTAAAACACGGCAAAAGACAAATAAAGTCAAAGATTTAATCTATTGTCACCTGTTTAGCAGGAGTGGGGCCGGTGGAGGTTTGTCCGGTGTCGCAGCGGTCATGTCAGTGGGGGGATCCGGGGGTTTCCCTGTGAATTTCACATTCCCGTGGCGGCTTGCTAGGTGCCTGCTCAGATTTAAAGTTAAATTTTTCTCTGTGGAAAAAAGTTTTCTTCCCACGCAGAGTGTACAGCGTACTCTAATGTTTTTGTCACTTTGTACAGATTAAAACTCAAAGTAATGTCAGTACTTCCAAGCTTTCGTACTCTCTCCCGCACTCCATATTATCCATTGTTGATCTACACACGTCTGTTGCTGCCACAGACGTCGCACGTTCATACGTCATGAGACACTCTCACAAACAAAATCACCGTTTAGTAACGCAGTAACGCAGCGTGCTTACGGGAAAGTAGCAGTAATCGAATTACTTTTTTGCAATAACAATCCCTTTACTTGAAAAAAGGAATTGGATAGCACATTACTGCCCATCTCTGGCTACATTTAACCGAGGGGAGCTGAAAAGGTTTGAGCAGTAATGCTGTAGACTTAATTGAAAGCTATTTGTAAGCAGTATAAAATGATCAGGCTAATTATAATTCTTACATATTTCCAGAAAGGTTACAACAGCGGATGAATCTGCTTGTTTAATTTAGCAAAGATTTTATGCTGGATGCCCTTTCTGACAAAACCAATTATCCAACCTCACGGCCGACACTAAGAGTACTCTAGCATGTGTCTCCTTCCGATCTTGATTTTTTTTTTCTCATGTAAAAGGTGAATGCGTTGTATGTGAGTGCATACTCGTACCTTCAGTCTAATTGCGTATTAGTGTGTACCTTTTCTAAAATCACCCTTAATTTGTCTGTGTTGTTAAGCACAGGTATTTTTATTTTAAAAATTCACTCTGCAAAAACTGGTGTCATAAAAAGGCTTTACATAGTTAAGTTGTTATTCAGCCCCTGTGGCCGAGTCACTCAATAATTCCCACCACTACAAGCCCACCGAGATGGTTAACAGTTGGCAAAAAGTGCGTGGGTTGGAAGATTTCTGCCAAGACACCAAAAAGATCTCAACACTTTATTGCTTTTTCCACTGTGTATGGTTTCAGGATTAGGCTTATAGGTATCACTGTAAGTGCTTTCTAAGCTCTCTAATGTCACGTAACACTGGACAAAAAATGTCTTTTAATGGATCTGGTTGGGACAAAATGTATCTCATGCTTGTAGAAATGTGGACCTGATAATGGTGTGTGATGCTGTCAGAGTTGGAAATCCACCTGACGTTGACTCAGTTACAAGCATTCATGGTTATTGACCGTCCATCTCTCGTTCTCAGGCTGCTAAAGGGAAGTAAAAGCAGTTCTGCAAAAGATTCAGAGGACTGTGAGGAAATCTCAGAGGACAAGGAGAATTGTTCAGACAATAAGAAAGAGGTAGTTTTCTGTTTTGTTTGTTTGGGGGGGGAGAGGTGAAAATGAAAATCAAATAATGCTATTTTTGTATTCACTCATCTGTCAATTTGAGCAGCTGCAGAAAAAGGTTTCCCAACTGGAAGAGAAGCTCGACAATGAGATGCAGGCCAAAGATGAGCTGGAGCAAAAGTGCAGGTAAGATAAAACATACGATCCTGTTTGATAAGATAAGATAACCTTTATTAGTCCCACACGTTGGCAATTTGTTTTGTTACAGCAAAAAGTGGACAGTGCAAAGTTATATAGCAAAAATTAGCTATATGTTAATCAGTGTTCAGTCAACTTATTAAATGTCTTGGTTAAAAGGTTTTTAAATTAGACATCACCAAAGGATAACTGGTTTCCCTGAAGAGTTTTTTTTATATGGTGTGTCACTTCCTTCCAGATATATAGAAGTGTTTTGTAAAACAGGAAGTGACATCCCATCCTCAAAGCTGCTTTTAGAAATCCCAATATTAGGAGACGTTAAAGGAAATCCAAAAGCGGCAGAGAAAAAAAAAAAAGCAAGAAGAATTTCAATGTATAAATACATTTTTGAAAAGACAATTTTTAACTAATTGTGAAAAATTTTAATCTTTTTTTCCACCACCCAGAAATGCTACCAACCGTTTAGACAAACTCGCCAAAGAATTAGACAAGGAGGTAAGAGCGGGTGCATTTCAACCATGTACCTGATGGGATAAAGAAGGTCAGAGTTTGTTTCCACTCGTACTGTGTGCGAATTCCTCTCTCATCAGATGAACAGCAGGCAGAAAGTCGAAGCCTCACTGAGGCAGCTGGAGAGAGAGAGAGCTCTGCTGCAGCACCAGAGTGCTGAGAATCTGCGCAAGGTGGAGATCGAAACTGACAGGAAACGCAGCCTGGAGAACGAGTGTGAGCACCTATGAACAAATGTAGAGTGCTGTGCAAAAGTCTTCAGCTGTCCTTCATTTCTTTACATTTTGCTTAAAAGGAGCTTCAAAGGAGGACTTCTTATTTTATTTAAAGTGATTTTGAGCAGTACTACAGAAGTTTTGAAGTTTGTTTTTTTTTGGCCGTTCCTCCTTCTTTTTTTGGTCCTTTTTTTTTTGCTCGTCTTCAGTCCAGTCCTTGTACCCGACCATTTGTTCATTTTGCTTTGTTTTTTCGTTTAAGCTACGTAACACTGGTTCTTTAAGCCTGATGATTCACAATCTTAAGTTGCCACTTTGTTACGAGCAGCCACAAAATCCAAAACGCATATGTTTTTCGTTTCTTTAGTTAAATCTATGAAAAATTCCAAATATAAAATGAATAAAATAATATTTCTGCACAAACAAAGTGCAAAGCAAAGAGCTTTTAACCAAAAACGTGATGCATCACAGCAACGAAAGGCAGCCAACATCCACAGAAGAATTTCTAACATCCTTCATAAGTCTTGAGAAATATTCCTGAAGACTACTTAAACTATAAGAAAGTTTGTCTAAGGGAGTTCAGGCTGCTTTGAAGAATAAAAATCGTCACGCCGAGCACTGACTTTCAAGCTTGTTAGAAGTGTACAAACTGTACATGTTGCACCCATTTTCCTACTAAAATCTAAGGAGTTGCTCAAGATTATTGCACAGCACCAAATCTAAACATCAGATGTATAACTTGTGAAATATCTTTCCATAATTTTGGTTGTCATTTGATTTTATATTTGACTCAGGCAAGTCAAATTGTGTATTTATATGTCAGGCTCAGAAATATTCATAGTTGTGGATTGACAGTATTATAATATCATATGGATGGATGACATTTTTTATACTACACTAACTAAAAATGACTTTGTTTTTACTCATCAGTGAACAACCTGAGGGACCAGCTAGAGGATCTGAGGAAGAAGAACCAGAATTCACACATCTCAAATGAGAAGAACATCCAGCTGCAAAAACAAGTGAGGGAAGCTTTTTAAAGTCACCTAACATGGTGTTGTCTTTCTCTTATTTTCAATTTTCCGTATCACTGCACCTTTTTTTTTTCTGTGTTTAATATGTGTTTTTATTCATGTTAATAAAAACATACCAAATTGGTAATCCCTAATTCTGAAGGCCTTCAGCAAAAAAACAATTTCATCTTCTCGTTATTTATTTTCCTTCCCTTAATATCTGTAGCTTGAGGACGTCAATGCTGTGCTTCAGGCTGAGCAAGAGGCTGTAGCGCGGTTAAAGAAGAGTCAGGCGGAGGTGCAGAAACAAGCCCAGAGTCTGGAGGTTAGCCTCGGGGAGATGCAGGAAAAGTGCAGCCAGCTTGAAAACAGCAAGATGGAGCTGGAGAAGCAGCTGAGGGGGCTGCAGGCCGAACTGGAGGAGGAGAGGAGAGGCCGCAACATGGGGACAGAAACTATTAATGACCTACAGGGTGAGACGTGGCTCTCTATTACACTCTGACAGCAAGAGGTATTAACATAGTCGTAAACAGATTTAAAGGTTATGTGAGTTCTGTTTGGACTCTCTTGTTGGTAGCCAGTTGTAGGTAAACTACAGCCTTCATTAGCAATGTTCAGAAGTAAAATTATGTTAAGCTATAGTTAATCTTTTTTTCAGCAGTTACCTCATCATCAAGCTTTGATTTGTTTTGTCAGATAGTTAAAGGTCATCGAATGAATACCTCTGCAGTGAAATACTGATTTACTCACCCTAACCACAGGTAATCAGTGTGATCTTTATACTCCCTAAAAGTGGCTGCAGTAAACAGCAGGAAAAAAAGATGTTATGCAAGTTGGAGTTGAAGGCTCAACATTAGATGTGAATCACTTTTCTGGATCGGGCACTGGGAAATGTCTGATCATAGGTGGAAACATCTGCTCAAAAGCCTGAGAGTGAAGCAAGTGGCCGTAAAAGCCAAAGGAAAACCCAAGCCAGAACCTTTTGTGGAAACTTAAGCATGCTCACTCCTGGCAGAGAGGCCACTGGCTGAGGTCAGAGGGGATGTACGTAGACCACAGTGTTACCTGTTTGTTGTGATGCCTGATGATCCCCCCCACCCCATGTCAGAATCTCTGTGTGGGTGGAGTCAGGGAAAAGAAACACTGAGTGCAATGTTTTCTGCATATTTAAAGATGTATGTGGGCTGGGATATTATGTAATGTCTGAAGCTGAACAGTTCAGGCACAGTTTTTAATTTACGACACGTTTGGCTCAACACTGTCACATCGTATAGAGCCTCATTATGGTAGCATCTTGACAAATAAAAAGAATACATGTAATAAATGTTATTCATTCTTTTAAACAATTCCCATTGCTCCATTACAGGACGCATCTCAGGGCTGGAAGAAGAGGTGAAAGAAGTGAAGTCATCTCTTTCCAAGGTCCAGACTGAAAAAAAGGAGCTACAGGAGAAGCTCAGTGAGCTTGAGAAGGTTGTTTTTGATTACTCATTACAAATTTCCAAATTGAAGGGAGAAGTATTCCTCCTTTTGTTCATTAAATAAGACACTACGACTCCAATATCCATTTTTGACCCTTTAGAAAAAGAGCAACCAAGAGATCGACCTTACGTTCAAGCTGAAGTCCCTGCAGCAGAGTCTGGAGCAGGAGGAGGTAGAGCACAAGGCCACCAAAGCCAAGCTTGCTGATAAAAAGAAGACCGACCAATCCATAGAAGAGGCAAAGTCCGAGGCCTTAAAAGGTGAGGAAGTGGGAGGGAGGAAGAGGGAATGTTGATTGGAGAGTACTCTCAAATGTAAAAGTGATGGTTTACACCATATTTAACTCAGCTAACCAAAGTAAGGGATTGCCTTAAGCAAAAGCCAGTCATGAAAGGGAAAAGGTGACTTCTGCTGCTTTTAAAAGCTGTTGAAGAAACAAATGAAGGGTCGATTGATGTTAAACATTACTGACAAATAATTCTAGTTCATTCCCAGCAGGTTGACAGAAAACTCGGAACAGACTGATGTTTCGATTTGTTGCTGATTGTCCCTCTCACGCTAGTCCATTTAATTCATGCCACAAGCAAGTTTACTGAAAGACAGCAATGATCTGGCAATACTCCAGTGTCGAGTGCAGTGTAGATTGTCCTGCTGATGTCTTTCCTTGCGATTTCCTTCGGTTCAGAGATGGAGTGCACCCTGCAGGAGGAGCGCAGCTTGAAGGTGCAGGTGGAGGGAAAGCTGCTGCAGCTAAAAAAGGACTACTCCATGCTGGACTGTGATTACAAGCAGGCGGAGAACAAGCTGGATGAATTTCAGGCACAGAAGGAGAAACTTTCTGAAGAGGTTTGTCCCAAATGAAACATGAACGACAAAGTAGTAACTTTAGACATTGTTTTGAAGAAATGATCCTACATCAAATATTAAGAGTTTCAATGTTACCCATTTTAGCAATCTCTAAAACAACAACCTCACAACAGCTCTCATTTACTAACGGCGTGTACGCACAAATCTGTTCATGAATCGAGCTCACAAACCTTTCATACACAAATCAGTTTTAATATTTTTAGATCTGAAGGTTTTTTTTGTAGCATGAACAAATTTACATGTATTTCTGATCATGCATACAAACAAATGGCCTGGCTGTTCTAGGAGTTTTAATCATAAGTCTTTAAAATGAATACTGCTGCTGCTACTACTACTTATCATTGTAACCCTTATTGTTATTAATAATATTATTGTTTGGTTTCTATTACTACCACACCACTTTTGGGTCATTATTTACAGTTTTCCAAGTCCATAAGCCATAAAATCCTCAAAAAATAAAATAAAATACTAAATGGAAAGCTCTCTGGTATTGCTTATCTTATTTTAAATGATCTTATCTTGTCATTGTAAACGACTTCCATTATTTCTGGATATCATCACTTGCACTGTTATTTCCTGGCACTAACCCAGATGCTATTTATTTATTTCTTCTTATTATTATCATTATCATTTAATATTTGAGGATTTAAACATTTTTTCTAACTTGTGTCACAGCGAGCATCTCAAAACCTTTTACTAAACCTGAAGTTTTCTTTCCCACTTTTCATAAATCCAACAGTACTTTTTCGCACACTTGTTAAAATTAAAGTAAATTAGGGTGTTTACCTAATCCACTCAGCAATGGCAACTGTGGAAAAACAAAGCAAACCTGAACAGAATAGATAAAAGTCAACAAAGTAGCAAATGAAGGAGAAAATCTGGTTCCATTGTGTGCAGTGATCATGACTACAACAAGGAAGGTGTGCCATGGAAAGAAATCGTGCCTTGCAATGCATTCAGTCGGTATTATCATCGTTACAGTATGTGTACTATGTATATAATCATCACACTGCTTGACGTAAACTTTCTAGACTGTTGAAAATTTCACATTGTGATTTTACTCACTGAAGAAAAATTCATTTGGGGGTAAAATCATATTCTGCACCTGGTCATGGCTTTGACTGAACAAAAAAAACATTATCACAGACTTAATATCTACATTCTGTGGTGATGAATGAGGAAAGCTAGGTGGGTGACCAACGGCCTCTTGTAATGAGCATTTGATTTTATTTTCAAGCATTTTGTACAAAGTGGTGCTCACTTGTTCTGAAGCTATACCCTCTGTGTCTAACCAGCTACTAGTAGGATTAACCACAGCTTTGCATCCCTGCTTGTGTCTTTACAGGTGTTGCACCTGACCTCACGTCTGGAGGAGGAGATGCACAAGCGGAGTATGAGCCAGAGTGAACTGAAGATGCAAAACCAGCAGGTGTCTGTGCTCCAGTCCTCTGAGAAACAGCTCAAACAGGAACTCAACCAACTGTTAGACATGAAGCAGATGCTGGAGAAACAGAACCAGGAACTACGGAGGTCAGACACATGTCCATATCCTGCATACTTGTTCATTTTAATTTCAGTATATACTGCAGCTGCCCTTAGGAAGTATTTAATAGCACATACAGTCTTCATACTACTTTTGACACGTCTACATTGCAGAGGATTGTGCATCAAAATGCCCTGAAAAGCATGATGGCTCGCTTTATGCAGAATGCAACCACATGCAATTGCACAACTTGGTACTTTTAAAATACAGTGTACTCGAACATACTAAATCTTTTTCTGGCTAACTAAGTAGGTAGTATGAATATTGGACTGCACCCATGATATCTAATGAGCATAATATGCATATACAAATATAGCAAGAGTATTAGTGACTTTTTAATGTTGTTGGCAAGTCTCATTCATTTCCTCTGATTTAAAGGCATTGCTTTGGCTCTGGTGTTCAGTTGGCCTGCAGCAATGACTGACAGATTTCTGGTCCTGTTTCAGGGAAAAGCAGGAGGCTGATGGCCAGCTGAAGGAACTGAAGGACCAACTGGAGGCACAGCACTGTTTCACAGTAACTCTTTCTTTTCTTTTCCTTTTTGTGCATGCTATCTGCAAACAGCAGTGACAGCCAAATCACTTCAGTTGTACATTTAAGTGAATTGGCTTTCCCTAGCTCCTCACACGTTTACTCTGTAAGTGTAATCTAAAAACTGATTGGGTCTACATGATTTCTTTATCAAAGACCCTTTACAAGACACAGATCCGTGAGCTGACGGATGAGCGTGATGAGAAGAATAAGCTGTACGAAGAGGTGCAGCAGCAACTGGCAGAATACCAGGAAGAAAGGTAACTGTGGCTGTTGTGCTTTGATAAGCCGACTCTGCATTCAGTATAAAAACACTGTAAACACTTAATCACCAGATTAGTATGGAAATTGACATAAGCAGCAAAAAACGAACCATTCAAACTTGCAGTTTTTAAAGTGGCAGTTAAATATGTGTATCTCAACTCTACAAAATTCATTTTATCTGTACTTGAAGAATATAGCAGTCTTCTCAGATTAGTGTCATTTCCCTTGTTCAAATTAATCTCAGCCAAACAGAAGGACACGACCTTTCACAGACTGAATGAAGCTGAACCAGATTAGCAGCTGCCCCAGATGCACTCGAGCCAAACATTATTGTGGACATATAATGCTTTCAAATTCAGCAGAGACAAAAAAGTCCCAGAAATATCAGTGCATGGTAGCACTACAGGCTGTTGATTTTTAGGTAATAACAGCAGGGATCTTCCTGTCTTTCTAGGATTTATACAGCTCTGGTAATTAATAAGATAATGGTAATTCATGCTCTCTTTCCCTCTGCAGGAAGTCACTGACAACCCGGCTGGAAGAAAGCTTGACCAAAGCAGACGCTGAGAAGTTGGCTCGTTCTGTCGTTGAGGACCAGTTCTCCAATCTGGAGAAAGAAAAGATCATGAAGGAGCTAGAGATCAGCGACATGATGATGAGGCACCAGCAGGAGCTCAGCGATAAGGAGGCCACCATCAGCTCGGTAAGATCGGCTCAAGTTTTGTTTGTTCGAGCCAAAAAATGTTTGTTAGCTGTTTGGATGAAGTCCCTGCCTGCTGTTGCTACATTTTTTTGTAACTTATCACCTTCTCAGAAAATCTTGACACTTCTGTATACCACTGGTTGTAGCTAGAAACTCTGCAAGGTATCTTTAATGCCCTGGGAAATATTTAGTTATGTCAGTAGCAATTTACCCTCAAGACCATCATTTTTGCAACCACATAAACTATTAAGAACAATAAGAGTCACTAATGTTTGGCTTGGCTTTGTTCCCTTTTATTCATTCTGGAAAACTCAAAGTACATTTTGTTTTGAAATGAGTTAAAGTATTCTTGTCACCTGACTGCTATGCAGAGTATCCACTGATAACATCGCCTCACCTCTGCTCTATCCACCTTCACAGCTGGAAGAGTCCAATCGTACGCTGACGGTGGATGTAGCCAACCTGGCCAGTGAGAAGGAAGAACTCAACAACCAGCTGAAAGAAATGCAACAAAGTGAGCGTCACTCTTCTGTAATGAGCAACCGATAAAACTAATTTCTATTAAGAAGTCATTTCCTCCAAGTTATAGAATGTGTGTTAAAAGTTGGCATTATTTACGCAGATAAAGATGTAAAATTGTCAGAAAAGTAGCCACTGTTGTGTTTATCGAAAAACAGAGTATTTGTCCTGTAAATTGTTAACCAAATTTCTGAAACATTGTGTTAAGAAACATGTATGAGTTTTGATTTGCTATTTTTATAGAACTCCAGAAAGCAAAAGATGAAGAGAACTATTTCAAAGAGTCCTTTGATAAGCAGCTGTGCAACGAAAGAACGCTAAAAATTCAGGTGTGTGTCTGGGTGCCTGCACAGGTCTGGAAAGTCTGCTACACTTTATTTTTTGCATGCTACTCTTGTGTCACATCAGTTGTTAAGAGTAATTTTCTGCTACAAGGTTGTGTTGAACTCTGGGTAAAAGTTACTGAAACATATAACATATTGCTGCAGGCTTTCCTGTTGAATTTACCAGGCTTGTATTTATCATAAATAGATCTCTGTAAAAGTATATATTACATGATTTATTTTTTTTTCTCTCAGGCTGTGAACAAACTGGCTGAGGTGATGAACAGGAGGGAGAAGGTGCGGGGAGGCCACCAAGGCACTGACACCGAGGTGCACAAGAAGGAGAAGGAGAACAGGAAACTGCAGCTGGAGCTGAAAGCAGAGAAGGAGAAATTCAGCACCGCCATCGTAAAATACCAGAACCAGCTGGCTGAAATGGAGGCGGTCAGTACGCCCACACTCCCAGAAAATAAACGCACGGCGTACAAGCAGATACATTTGCCAGAAAGAATCAGTGAGATACTGAGAGAGGCTGAATGTTGATTACCAATTAAAATTCTTACTGTAGAGAAGGAGACGGACAGACAGAGATACTGGGGGGGAAAAAGATTTGCTAGAATTTCTCAATATTTAGTGTCAGCTAGAGATTTGGAGTGCTTTCTACAGGACCTGAGCTGAGAGTGCATAGAAGATGGATGAAGCTTTATTACTATCTATTGGTTTGTTTACTTTTGTTTAAAAGCCTCAATTTTTCTATTATTTCCCTCAGCATCTTGGTTTTTTGAAGCCAGAAATGGCCATATTTGAATGAAAAGTGTTTGACGGTTGGTAGGGATGGCCAATTCATAGTGGTAAATTCCCAAATAATACTCGGTGGATCACAGACTTCTCGGACAGTTTTGTTTTTGTTTTTTTGTTCAGTTAACCACACACACGGAGACCAAAATATTTGGCTGATTAATTGCATTTAAAATGCTTCCAAGGCTACCGACAGCCCCAAACACAGACAAGAGCTCCATTTAGTGACTTTGTGAGCAGTACTGTCAATCAGTGTTGATGGGTATTGTCGGCGGCGGCATGGACACCCAACTTTGTGAATACAGTAAGTCAAGAACGAGGTGATGTAGGACTTTCAAATTGATCTCTTAAGTGCATCCACTAGGAGGCTGAGGAGTAGCACTGGTGTCCATTAGTGTATTTATTTTAAAACTGTGGAAGTTTAACTACTAATCTCTAATCATCTTTATTTCTGCTGGAAAGTTGGGCACTTTCATTCTGCAGATGGGCTCTTTTCAAGTCAGCTTCAGGTGGCCATTCAAGGAATTGCAGCTTGATATGTTTTGGGTTTTTTTTTTTTACTTCATTTAAGATGCTATGAAATTGTATAGGGGAAAACATTTCTCCATGTAGATCAAACTGAAAAAATATGCACTTTATATTCTTGGAAGAAAATATCCATCGTTTCTGTGTTTCTAATTATTTCCCCAATATTCTGCATTAGAAGTGAGAAAGTGAGTTCAGCTAACAAGCTGTTTGTTTATTTAGCTGGTGGCAGAAGAGAACCAGATGCGTCTAGATCTTCAGATGACGCTGGACAGTAAAGAGAGCGACATTGAGCAGCTGCGATCCCAGATCACATCCCTCAGCATTCACTCTCTGGACTCCACCAGCATCAGCAGTGGCAACGACTTGGATTTAGAAGGATACCCAGGTAGACCCTTCATCCTGCTGTCATCATCGCAAAGATTTTCTTTAACATTTATATTCAGGGCCAGAAAGCACTTCTTTATACCTTTCTTCCAGTCCTTTCTTTTTCCTCATTATGCCTCTTCCTTTTCATCCCTTTTATTTCACCTTAACTTCTCTCTTCATGGTCCGGTGCAGTGCGCATTACTCACTCTCACACCTCAGAATCAATGTCCTTCACCTACCAGCGCACACACAAATCCGTCTGCATCGACACTCGGCCAAACCTTCGCTCGGCTCACGCTCTCTTTGGCTCTGACTCTGAGGACGAAGAAGAGCATGATGGGCGTCAGGAGCGGGGCCAAACTCCCCTGGCCCTTACCTATGAACCGTCCTCTGAGCCTGAACCCGAACCTGAACCTAGAGGTGACCCTGCATGGCAGTTCAAAGCCAGGATGTGGATTGAAACTAAAGCAAAGCAATTTTTTTGAAAGAGCTTTTTACAATATTTATCCATAAAATTATGGATGGGGGGGTTCATTTTCTTCTCTAATTTGAGTGAGTTTGGAATAAAATAACCCCAAACCCTTGCCTGACACCGCGAACCTGTAGCTAATCCCTGTAAAGTTTGGCTTTCTCTCTAATCCTTGCAATGCAAACACACACAGCTTGATGCAGCACGGCTTTGCTGAAATTTATTCCACTACAAAAGATTTGGAAAGTGAAGTTGTGTGTGGATTTCTACTAATAATTAAGTTACTTTCTTTCTTTTTATATCTCTACTATGCACTTGTTATGTTTTGGAATTGCAGTTCCTTAGAAATCTTGTAGTTCTCGCGTAATAGTCTCAAACCAGAGAATAGGACATCCTGTGCCTTGCCCTTTTGTATTACTGAGGAAGAATTTCCTTTCTTCTTAAAGAAAGTGCCACCAAAGCATGAGACTGTCAATATTTGCTTTTAAGTGACTCGCACAATTAAAGGTTTTTGTGTTTTTGTATGTTAACACCTTCCTGTTTTTCCTCCACTCATTAGACTCCAGGCTGGAGGGCTGGATCTCACTTCCTTCCAAGAACACCAAGCGATTTGGTTGGGACAAAAAAGTAATGAATCCACCAATATTTCTTGCATTTAAAAAAAAAAATAATAATAATTTCCCCATATATTTTTATATTGTTTATTGTTTTCCATTTCCTTTACAGTATGTGGTCGTGAGCAGTAAGAAGATCCTGTTCTATAACAGCGAGGTGGATCGAGAGCAAGCTAACCCTTTCATGACCCTGGACCTTGAGTGAGTCATTAAAAGCACCTTTTAAACATGGAACACATTAGTAAATACAGTGGTCCCTCGTTTATCGCGGGATTAACGTTCTAAAAATAACCCGCGATTATTATAGATGTTTTAAGGCTGTAAAACCTTTTTCAAGCCAGGTCTAGAGTTCTAGATCATCATAACTGTAACCTTTGTCAAATCTCACACTTTGGGAGAGCAGCACCAATCATTGTTAGCCAATAGTGCTTTGCAATATCATACTAAAATAAATATCTGAATCCCAAATAACTGAGATCATCTAAAATATAACACTGAATTTGACTCAGAACATGTTTTTTTTCTTTTGTTTGTCCAAATTTAAAAAAAAAAAAATCATTTTACATTTTAAGTCACCATCTTTTCCATCAAATGCTCCACAGAGAGCATGGTGACTCACCGCAAAGTCAAAGCTATGCAGATTTTTGGTGGAAAATAATAGAAATGACCATAGAAAAAATCAGCTCGAATAAAGACCACAAAACTACACAGAGCAGGTGGAAGTCAACTGAAACTCAAAGGTTTGTGCTATCAGAGGGTTAAATGCCACAGTTACAACACATCTCTCAATACTGTCCTACTTTATGCCTTGTCTGGAAGTTAAGGTAAAACTAAAAATGATGAATGTTGCCGGGTGTTGGATTCATCCTCTGGGAATAATCAATCTTTGCAATGGCAAACAGCAACATGGGAATAAGCTAAAGCCGGTGTAAACAATGGGATTTGATAATAATGCAAGACAATAAAAACAACCAAAACTGATCTGTTGTTGCATTTCAAGTCTTCTTTTCGTTAATAAATTTGAATCACTCTATATAAAGTAGGTTTCTCATACTGGGTGGGCATTAGACTTAATTTCTGCATCTCTCTCACTCTTTCAGTAAGCTGTTTCATGTCCGGCCTGTAACTCAGACTGATGTGTACCGTGCAGATGTCAGAGAAATTCCAAGGATTTTCCAGGTAATGAGTTGAGACCGCCCCTGTTTCCTTCTCTTTATTTTCTTGCTTTCACGGACCTTCAAGACAAAACTTCCTCTGTAACTTTAAGTTTTAACTGCATTTGCCGCCTTCTGTCTCTCCAGATCCTATATGACAATGAAGGTGAGAGCAAGCGTGAGCAGGATGCTGGAGCTGAACCCACAAACTCTGGTGATCGCGCCTCATACATCAGCCACAAGGGCCACGAGTTCATCGTCACCCTCTACCATTTCCCATCCAACTGTGAGGTCTGCACCCGGCCTTTGTGGAACGTCTTCAAACCTCCACCAGCGCTCGAGTGTCGTCGCTGCCACACCAAGTTCCATAAAGACCACCTGGATAAAAAAGAAGTTATTATACCCTGCAAAGGTCAGCATGCTCACTCAGGATTTAACAGGAAACTTGATTTTTACAGTTGCACTAAAATTACCCAAAATTACCCAGATGCATAGTACATGCATCTGGGTTCAAACACCTGGTTAACAAACAGCCCCAAAACATTAAAATTAATTGCTGTCACGATTCAAAATAAAGAAAACGCACAAAAACACAAGATTAGAATGGCACCATCATGTAATAGATTTATGTATACATCATAACTTGATATTGGGGTGGGGGAGGTGGGTGGGTCCAAAGCTGTTCTTTCTTGTTCTCACACACATCAGGATATAATCCACCTCACACAGGCTGCCTGGGTGGAGTGCGCAACACGCAGAAGACACTAGAGTGCAATCAGATATCACACAAAACTTAAATGGTTAAACCCATTTAATGTCCCATCTACTGCATCCAATATTCATTCTCACATGTCTACATGTCTAAAAAAGATCAAAGCTAAAGTGGATGTATGAAAAGCTGCAAAATCTAATCTTGGTCATAAAAAGGAAATATCTCTCTCTTAATCTTTTTTTTTTTAAAATCTTATTAACAGTGAATTATGACATCTCCACGGCCAAAGAACTACTCCTCCTGACCAGCTCTCAGACGGAGCAGAAGCACTGGGTCAGTCACCTCCTTAAGCGCATCCCGAAACACCCGACACTGAGTCCTCCCCCTGTGGCACGCAATTCCCCTGAAAAAATACCCCATTCCTCTCCACAAGTATCCCCACGACCTTCGCCCAAGTCCTCTCCTCGCATGTCCCATCGAGGCGCTGTAAAGATCCAATCCACCCGGCAGCAACCGTCATCGGGGAAGCCAAGGTGAGAAACCCACAAAAACAAGTTTGGAAATTTTACTTTATTCTTAACTATAAGCTTTAATTTTACATACTGTATGGGGGTATCCCCTTCACAGTCATCTAGGAAAAATGTTTTCAGTTTTTATTATTATAATAATAAAACTGAGCATGTTTAAGAAACTTCACCAACATTGATGTTTTAAGAAACTAACAACAGAAGTATAAAAATGCAATTTGTTCAAATATTTATGCAATAAAAATAATATGAGCATTTGTAATTTAAATGAAATAAATATGCAGCAGATGCTCCTTTTATATTTTATTTGACTAATCTAGTGCTCATCAGGAGATCTTTTGTGTTTTGATTTGTGCTTTCTTGGCCTTATTCTCTTCTCACTTTCAATTGTCTGAACCTTTTCTGAGCTTTTGTTAGCATGAAAAATACCTTATTTTTTTCATGCAGGTAAATGCAGGTAAAGGTCTTAAACGCTGTTTCTTAACTACATTGTCTAGCTTCTGCATAGTTGAAACAAACCCAAAGCTCTGGCTGATGTACAATATTTTGCTTTAAACTGACTTCTGAACCTTCCCATCTGCATTAATGATGCAGCATTAATGCTCGCACACAGCACCTCACCGAGCATCAGCAGTGACTTAACTGAGTAGAAAATGGCATCAAACCTTTTGTGGGACTAATTAACTGTATCTGTCTTGTTTTATGAGAACATTAATGCAGTTAGTAGTTTCAACTTTCAGCCACACCCTAACTTGCTTTTGTCCTTCAGCACTGGCCCCATGCTCCGTATCATCCTCCACTGACCCCCGATCTCTTCACCTCTGACCCCACCATTTCTAACGTCTCTCATGCTGGGAGACTGTAAGTAGCATAGCTTGGTGACCCTCTCCACCTGCATCGCTGCCGTGCCTATTAACCCACTCTTCATAGAAAGCAGCATAAAGTACCTGGTGAACCACTAACCATCCCACTAGTGCCCCCTTCTGACAGTGGCATGTGTTGTCTAGCATATTAACGCATCACTAAAGGCTGTCTGTTAAGGTACACAGCCATCTAGGTCATCATAGTCTAAGGAGCTTGGAAAGAAAAGCGTTTGGACTTCTTTAAGTTTCTTGAAGGCGTTTCGCCTCTCCCAATAGGACTCTCCCTTTTGAGAGTGTCCCTAAGGAAGGTCCTGATAGACACTTCCAATCGGGCTTAAAAATCTGGGCCTCACCACCAATTGCTCTTAAAACTGAAGAAGCTTCTCGGATGAGAGGCGAAATGTCTTCAAGAAACTAAAGAAGTCCGGACACTTTTCTTTCCAAACTCCATAGATCACTAAAGGCTCTTTGACCACTAAAGGCTCCTTGAACCCCTCATACTTGATGTTTCAGACTGTTTGAGTTTGACCTCAAAGACTGGAGTTGGGCATTGGATGATGACGATAATCATGATGATGATGATGATGATATGTTCTTCTGAAGAAAGTTAAAGAGGAGGGACAGAGGGTAACTGGACCTCTGCATGAGATGTGTGGCTTTAACGTATTGAGGCATGCTTTTGTGTGCTTTCCAAGTTTACAGCTAAATGCAACTCACCTCGCTGTTTAATCCCGAAGTTACAAAATGCTTCAGTTAATATCACCAAAAAATCAGAAATATTAGGGAAAATTCTGGTTCGACATGTTTGGAAGGAGTAAATCCATGAAATAATATAAAGTTTTTCTTTTAAGTCTTGCTTTTAAGATGACAAAAAGTGGCTAGTTAGCTTAGCTTAGTTTAACATGAACCTCAGATTATTTCTTTTGAATGTCAGTTAATGTGCAAATCAGCAATTCTCATAATTTGTGGGATCAATATTTATTAGTAGGTTATATTCAAGTGAGACGGGTGCTAGTTGTTTGTCCCTGTTTCTTTCCTTTATACTAATTGCTATAGTTAGCCTAACCCCTTTCACAGCAGCCATTTTGACATGAAATAGCAAGTAAACACAACTGTTGCTAATCACACTAATTGAGGCTCTTTAGCTTAAAAAGAATAGAAGTAAAGTGAGTAGCAACACGTGTTTTCCGGCTGTTATATGTCTACGAATGGGCGTCTTCCCTGTAATATTAAACCATTTCTTCTACTTCTATTTTTCTTTGGGCAAACATGCACACTAATAAATATAACTGTGTCTGCCTGCTTTTTTCCCTGCATCTACACTTTCATTATGTGGTTACTGGGTAGCTTCCTTGTTTATTAGTCTATGTGTGGATTTTGTGTGGGCGTGCCTTTGAAGTCCTGCCATACTGTTGGTAGCATACCAGGTTTTTCTCATCTTCTTTTTTGTATTTTCCTCTATCTTCACAGTTAACCCTGGCTAATATTTTCATCCGTGTGGAGTAATGGTGGTCTGGAAGCGGTGCCTACGTGTGTTATGTTTTTTCAGAGAAGACTGTCAAAAAAAACAAAAAACACAAAAAGCCCTAAAAAAAACACTAATACAGACAGAAAACTGGCTGACGTCATGAGAAAAAGGATTTATTTTTTGGTCATTTTAACAAAAGGAGAATCAGGACAGTCTTCCCATTACAGTGATTCATCCAGTGAAAAGATGCGACAATCTTCACGATTAAACTGCCCTATTTTCTTTTTTTCTTTTTAATCATCATAATTATGACAAGACTTTATTTTCTTTTTCTCTTTGCGTTTGTAAAAAGATTACGCATGTGTTTGAACATTTGTATATACGATAAATATCTATATCTGTGTATCGTAGCACATAACGTGAAGCTAATAGTATATATGATTGTTTTGTTTCTATGACCACATCACACACTATATATGGTTGTCCTGTAAATGTATTAAAACGGTTTTATGGCTTCTTTTTGAGTTAAAAATGAGCCTTTATAAGTACATCTGTTATAACATGCGAGAGATCAATGTGAACTCAACTGAAACAATGTTGTTGTTTTTCTTGCGCTTCATGACAATTATTGATTGTTCATATATGTTTAAAATCCCTTGTGTAGAGTTTTTGGGGTGATACATTAAAAAAAAATGTAAAAAATCAAGACTTAAGCATTTCAATTAGTGCCTCTGGTGATCGTATTTGTTTGTTGTGCATGCCTATTATTTAAGTTTTTGAAATTTGTAGAGAGTGCATCTAAAGCATTGGCGATATACAGCCTCTGCCTGATCAGGTCTAAAAGGAAATGATTTATATCAATTAACGTGAGAATTGATATAAAACAAAACATGGAAACAAGGGCTAGTACATGGTCTCTCAACCCATATCTAACATGTGACTGTTTTTGAGTTGTTAGTGTTAATATTAATGAAAAAGCAGTTTATTCTGTATCATATTGGTAAACAACAAAACAGTACCAAATAATTATGTTATACTACAGCTATGAGTGTATTTAAAGTGACCATTTGTATTACACCAGTATAGGTGTCTCACTACAGTATGTGGTGGTGAGCAGTAAAAAGCTCCTGTTCTATAACACTGAGCTGGATCGAGAGAAAGCAAACCTTTTCATGACCCCGGACAATGAGTGAGTCATTAAAAGCAGCGTTCAAAAATGTTGACTAAATGAGAAGTACTTTGTGTACCTCATGATGCAAAATACTGAACAAATGAAAATTCTAGCAAGGCTCAACGGGAAAAGCTTTGGAATCTGCAAATGGGTTTTAATTTCCATAGGTTTTACACAAAAACATTCACAATCCATCCAGTACAGTTTTACCAAATGCAACTTTGTCTAAAATGTAGAGCATTATCCCAAATTTTAATTGTTTCTACTTTTCAGACCTCAGCATTGCAGGAAATACCCTTTTTTGGTTTTTTTAAGGGTCCGCTTCTATCAACCAAAGCAGGTGAACCTGTCATCTTTTCCATCTTATGTATGGAGCATGAAGAGTTATAGCAAAGTCAAAGCTGTGCAGGTTTTGGTGGAATATAATAGAAACGGCTGTAGATAAAATCTGCTGCAATAAAGGCCATGAAACTGCTTATAACTGCACAACGTCGTTGGAAGATGAGTAATTTTTCACTTTCCCACAGGATAGAATATGATGTGTCCGTCTATGTATATGCACATTTTCCTCCTGTAACCCAAGAGTTACACAACAGTTACTTGAATAGAAATATGATATGAACGCATGAATGTAAGTTGCTCTTATATTTGTTGTAAAAGGAATCTGGGAAAATTACATCCATATAAAAATGTTTTGTCCTTCAATTCATTCAAAATGTTAACCTTTCTCTAACATTTACTTCTGATTACTCTCATCTAGGAACTGTTTGGAAATTTTTGGTTTTAGTTAATCATGTTGAAAAAATTTATGATTCAGTTGGTAATGAAATAAATAATCTCAACTGGCTTGATTTGCCAATTAATGGCATTTTCTTTACAATATTTTTAAATCATTCTATACCTAAAGTAAATATCTTGCTAGGCTAGCACTAGACTTAACTTCTCCATCTCTCTCCCTGTTTCAGTAAGCTGGTTCGTGTCAGATCTATAAGTCAAAGTGATGTGTACCGTGCAGATGCCAGAGAAATTCCAAAGATAAAGGTAATGAGTTGGGACCATCAATGCTTTCCTTTCTGTCATAGACTTTCAAGACTCATCAGCTATCCAATCTTCAGTTTACCCATCTGCTTCAAGTAAATCGTAAGTGTTGCATTTGCCTTCTTGTCTCCCCTGATCCAGTATAACAGTGAAGACGACATCAGGCGTGAACAGGACACTCCATTGGAACCCGTGCCGCATGGCGATCGCGGCTCCTACATCAACCACAGGGGCCATGAGTTTATCCTCGCACTCTATCATTTTCCATCCAGCTGTGAGGTCTGCAGCCGGCCTTTGTGGGACTTATTTAAGCCTCCGCCAGCGCTCGAATGCCGCTGCTGCCACGGCAAGTTCCACAAGGACCACCTGGATAAAAAAGAGAACGTTATTGTACCCTGCAAAGGTCAGCGTGCTCACTCAGGACTACAGGGAGAGCTTAACTTAAACAAATAAAGATTCCTCTGGGGTTTTTGAGTGATTTTTATGTACAACCTGAATTCGAAAAAAGTTGGGATGCTGAGTAAAATGTCAATAAAGACAGGATGCAATGATCTGCAAATCTCATGAGCCGATATTTTATTTACAATATAACAGAGAAAGTATATCAGATGTTTAAAATGAGGAATGTACTTTAAGTTCATTTGATGGCAGAAATGGGTCTAAAAAATCTTTGGATTGGAACATCTTTACAACTGTGTACCATCTCTTCTTTTAACAATAGTCTATAAATGTGGGAACTGAGATGCTGGACTTTTGGGAGAGGAATGTTGTCCCATTCTTGTCTCATTTAAAATTCTAGCTGCTCAAAAGTCCTATGTCTTCTTTTTTTTATGTTTCATGATGTGCCAAATTTCCATTTGTTGGCTTGAACTGTAGTGTCTCGCTGAAATATGTGAGGCATCCTGAAAACGACGCCTTCTGGATGGGTATATATGCCTTTCGAGATCATGGCTGCACAATATTGATTTTTAGCTTTGTCCCTTGCGCACAGACCTTTCTCTGGATTTTCAGAATCCTTTGATAATATTATGTAATACAGAAGAGAACATATTCAAAGTCTTACGCCTTTGTCCTGAAATTATTCCATAATTTGTGAGTGGATTATTTTGCATCTCTGCCCATTTTTACTTCTGAGAAATGCCTGTCTAAGGTGCTCATTTTATGTTAATTGTTACCAGCTAATCTAATTAGATGTAAAATGTTCCTTCCTTTTACTTTTCCAGCCCTTTGTTGCAATGTTACATCAAAGTGAACTTATATTTTTTCATGTTAAGCATTTGATATCTTTTCTCTGTCCTTTTGGGAATAAAATAGGAAAATATCAGAAAGGCCAATCCTTCCATTCTGTTTTTATTTACATCATACAGAATCCCAACTTTTGAGGAATTGGTCTTCACACATTTAGCTAGCAAATGTAGGTGTGGATTTTGTGTAAGCAACCTGGGATTTCTCATTTCCTTTCTTGTGTTTTTCTCTTCACAGTGAACCCTGGATAGTATTTCCATTCACATGCAGTAATGGAAGCAGTGTCTACGTGTGTTGTTGCGAGTGACAAAATCCAAATACTAATGTGGACAGGAAACTGGTGTCATGACAACTGGGATTTCATTCGAGGAAAGTGCATGCTGTATCCTTCGTGATTAATTCTAATTTGCTTCCTGATCATTGTCATAGGCGTGTGTGTAAACATTTGTGTACACATTAAAAGATCTCTCTTTGTATCATACCACACAAGGTGTTGCTGTATATTGCTGTATAAATCAGCACCACATCATCCAGTATATATGATTGTTCTGTAGATTTATAAATACAGTTTTAGGGTTTATTTTTAAGTGGAAGGCTTTACGTTTTCATGAGCCTTTATAATTACAACTGTTATAACACATGCCAGAATAATCTAAACGATACAGAAACAATATTTTTATTCCCATTTGTGATAATTATTGATTGTTCATATACAGTATGTTTAAAATCTCAAGGTGATGCAATAAAAGAAACCCTTTAATAACAATAATATAATACATTAACAGCATTTCAATGAGTAGCTCTGTTGATTTATGTTGTTCATTGATGTCCGTCATTAATAAAAACTATTCAGACTTACTTTGATATAGAAAGTGCGTCAGAAACAGTGGTGATGTACAGATGCTATCTTGACCAGGTCTTTAAAAGTAAATCAATCAATTTGAAAGAAAAAGGATTAAAAACAATAAGGTTTAGTATTTGGTAGTATTAGTACTTTTTTTATTAAACTGCCGAACAGCACTAAAAAAATAGTTGTTATAGTTGCACTGAAGCCATCTCTCCGTCAGCAGTATCACATCTGACTACAGCGTATTTTAAGAGACCATTTGAACTATACCAGAATAGGTCCGTCTTTATCTCACAAGTGCATGTGGAGTGAGTGGGCTCCACTGGAATAAATCTTTTAGAACAGCCTAAAGCCAACTGGCACTCATCATACATAATGTAATAGTTCATCATGTTGCCCAGATGCTAAAATCATTTTTCGTACTTGCAGGTCTAATCCATTCTGTCTATCAGCTGTGTGACTGTTCCGGTTAAATTGCAAATGAATGAACCCTGCTGTACAGGCCACTGAGATCTCAGGTGACATGTAGCCTCCTCCTGGTGTTTTTCTTCTTTTTCTCATCAGTGCGCAGTTAGTCTTTTAATTTTATTTCCAGTTTTTTAAAAAAATGAATTCTTTTTGCCTAAAGCATTATGTAAAGTACTTGAGTTATTTATCCTACTTCACATTTCTCCTCCACTTTTTGAGATAGAATTTCTTTTTTGTATTTTTTATGTTTTAACAGCTTTTTTAGAGACTCTAATTACCTTATGAATTAAGGGGTTTTTCTAATTGATTCATTTACTTTTGTGATTTTTGTGTGTTTTTGAATTATGGGTGTAAAAACACAAGTAAGCTTGCAATAGTCAATCAACTGCCAGGAGCACAGCATTCCTGGCTTTGACCTGACTTTGCTTTTTACTACCTCTGCTCTTCCCTGTATATCTGCTTTATGAGGCTGGATTGTCAAGTGGACTGTTTTTCACACTCTAGCATTTATATAGATTTTTACACAAAACAACATTATTTCAAAATGTGACACTCCGAATTTTGCAACCTTACAAACTCTGGTAAACTCCAACCAAGTTATGCAGTACAGCGTCTGTGAATGCACAAGCAGGTGGGCTACAGCAGCAGCCTACATCAGGCGCCACACCTACAAACAGAAAACTGAGGTTGCAAATTAAACAAAAGGTTGGAAAAATGTTCCCTGGTCTGATGAGTCTTTCTTTTCTAACATTTGGACAGAAGGGTCATAATTTGGAAGAATAGATTCATCCTGCTTTGTAGCAACACTTCAGACTGGTGATGGCGGTGTAATGGTGTGGAGGATATTTCTTTAGCGCCAACTGAGCTGTTAGAATGTAGCGGCTGGGTTCAAATAGGAGACTTGAGGCAGAGATGAGGTGCAGACCAACTACAGGTTTATTCACCAACATTAAAATACCAAACCATAACATGGCATAAAACAATGTAGCCCAGTGGTGAGACACGGTGCCAGCAACAGCCTCTGATGTAACTGACAGACCTTTACAGACTGCTGCTAATTGGCCCTCAAGCCATACCATTATCTGGTGTTACGTAGTAAACATCTTATCGAATAACCCTTATTAATGCCAACCAATACTATAGATATAATTACAATACGTAATTAACTAATATGGCTATTCAACACCCTCTTATATCACATGGTGCCACTGGGAATTATTAAAAAGGCACTCGGGATGCCTGGGGACTCTTTTGGCTTTTGGCCTTTTGGCAATATCAAAAGAAAATGGACGTAAGACTATCCTGTCATCGCAATATTAACTTGGGGTATACGTTGTCTCTCCTACTAATTAGGTTACACATCAGGTAAGTGTTAAAGTAATGTTTTCCACCAACTTAACCACAACTTAACTTTCCATACTAATTGAAATATATCACTTCTACTTTCCAACACCATTAAACTCATTGCCGACCTCATTGGTTTAGTCCAATCATCTTTCTTCCTGCCTTCTTCAGGACAGTCAACCTCAACTTCACATACTTTATATCTCACTGCTCCTTTGTCGTTCTCCCTGCATACACTTCTGCAACCCACCTCCTCCCAATGTCCGCCTCTCCCATGTTACTCGAGCTCCATCCAAGCCTCCATCTTTATTTCCACCACCAGCGTCTCGACCCCGGGGGTTCCTGCCCTCAGTCCTATCACAGCTGGCATTCTATTCAGCTAATCGCTAAATAGCTTAATTGAATTCTGTTGATCAATTAATCATGTTCAATTCCTTTTAATGAGCTCTCACTGTTGAAAAGTTCAATATACTGAAATAGTCATTAGATCTCACCTCTGGGAAAACATTAATTGCTCCACTGTTGCTCCTGGCATCTGTATGTTTCCATGTTTTAACATAATAATTAATAGCAGGCTGTTAAATGAAAAGAGGCTGTGCAATTTAAACAGTGACGTATGCAAAATAATTTAATTTCAATGTTAGGTGTGATGTGCCCCTTAACTGGACAAACTAGTTGAACTGTTAGGCCTGAGTCGGCTGACTTTATACTGTTTGCGTGACATATTTTTTCACTCGTGCTGATCAAACATTCTGTGTTGCTAATAAATATTGTTCCAAGAAAAATAAATCAACCAAATTTGGGAATGCTTATTTTTACCCTTTCACAAGCTCCCTCTTTCCTTCCTTCCTTGCCTACCCCATCCCCTTTCCACTGTTTAAAAGAAAAATTGAAAGTACAAATATTTTTTGTAGTTTCATTTTTTACCCAATAGTAACCAATTAGCCAGCAATGTATTTTTATTTTCTGACATTAACTAATAGACTTCAGCAATCTATTTCAGGAGTTTTTAGTAGAACTATAGTGTTTTATTCTTGTACTTTCCCGTGAGGTATGAGCTGCTCACTCTGTTGTAACTGCCTGTCCTTGACAAATGACTGTGCAGTGACTGGTCCGTGTTTACACAATAAGTAATGATTAGGTTGGGAGATTCGTCTCCACAAATGAGTAATTTGGAAGTGAGCAGTGATAAATCTGATATAAGCAGCAGTCTGCAGATGGACACACATTCAATTGCAGTAAGTATTTTTTGTTGTTTTTTTCACTGTCATTTGCGTGTCTGATTGCCATGTGCATAAACTGATTTGAAGATTTGTAGCATTGTTTTGTAGCAAATGCAGATGTAATAATTTCCTTGTATTTAACTCTCACTTCTACTCGTGTTCTTTTCTAGATATGAAGTCCTGGTATGTTCTTGCTTTTCTGTGGTTGTCATGTTTCTGCCACAGAGCTCTTTCCTGCCCAGCTCTCTGCACCTGTTATCCCAGAAGAAATGAGGTGGTCTGTAATGAGCTTCCCCTGACAGAGTTCCCCTCTGACGGTCTCCCAGAGAACACCACCCTGCTGACTATCCAATTCACAAACATCACCTCCATATCTGAGGCCCATCTAAATGCCATACCCAAGTTGCAAGGGCTCCATCTGTACAACAATCACCTGCACAGCCTTCCCTCTCATCTCCTCAGGGGCGTTCCTCACCTCAACACTTTGGATCTCACCGGAAACAGGCTAAACAATCTGCCTGCAGATGTCTTCAGCCACGCCCCACTACAGAGCTTGGTGCTGAAGAATAACCTTATTAGAAAAGCTGATGCAGAGTGGCTTTCTTATAACAGTAGCCTGACCTGGTTGGATTTATCTGGAAATGAATTAACAGAGATCCCAACTAATCTGCTTCTGAAGCTGCCCCACCTGGAGAACCTTGACTTCTCAAACAACCATCTGGATAAGATACCAGCAAATTCTCTGAGTCAACTGAGCAAACTTGAGAGGCTAAGCCTGCAGAACAACAAGCTCGACACGCTGAATGGATCTGCATTTCAGAGCCTGAATAGCCTCACACATCTCTTCCTCACTCAGAATAAACTCAACAAGCTGCCCAAAAACCTGTTCCAGGGACTCACTCAGCTCAGACACCTGAGTCTGGATGAAAACCAGCTGAGCCATATTCCTCCAGGTTTGCTGGATGAACTTCACTTGCTGGGAGAGGATGGCCTCGACTTGACAGTCAACCCTTGGCTCTGTGACGGGAAGGCAGAGTATCTATGGAGGTGGCTTCACGAGAACAAGAAGAAGGCTTTCTTGCCAGACTCCATCACATGCGCTGGACCTCAGCCTCTAGCAGGTCGTTCAATAATATCACTAACAGCAAATGAACTAAACCTTCAGTCTTAATATTACTCCTGCTGGTCTTTATCTAACATGAAAAGAAATCCAGTTCGGCCTGTCGGATTTGAATCACTAAAACATGATAACTATGTGACTATAAATAAATCTGATATAAATAAGACTATTGTCTTCTTTTTTATTTCATTAAATTTAAGCTACAGTGTGTTCATGTTACATTGTTTTCTTGTTTAGATTTAAATGAGAAAGTCTGCAGTATTATCATGGATTTTATGTTGGCATTTAGCTTAGCTTCACACAAAGGAAAATAATCCACCCACCAGAACATCTAGAGATCTCTAAAACCTCCTGTTTTGTTTGTTTGTTTGTTATTTTTATTCAAACAATGAATGACATTTGTAGGCAGCTTTTTGGCCAAAACCAGGCCAACCATTTCACCCGTTTTCAACCTTTCTGCTAAACTATAGTATTATAATAGAGTATCCCTCTATTCATTAAACTGCTAACATTAACAGGCACCAACATATGGTTGTGAACTTGAGGGATAAAAATTAAGCCTAATGCCTATTTTTGTTATTTGTTTTCTTTTTGCACAAGTTAATTAATAATGTATCACACATGTACCCTTGCACATTGTGTTCTTGAAAAACTGGAAAAAAAAATATTGATTTATGTGTGGTAACATCAACTTACTTTTAGAAAGTACAGAAAACAGTAACCACTCACTTTGTTTGCTTGGTTTTGTTTGCCTATTGCAACATTTTGTCCTGACTCATTGCTGGAATCAAATATCCTCAGAGTTGTGTAAAATCAAGTCAGCGATCAAAACCTGAAGGAATTTCAGCTGTGCTTTTCAGGTAACAACACATTTATAATCACATTGTCACCGTTTTATTACCTGTTGATCTTTTACGCTATTGTTTTCTTCTCAGTGTATTTTTTCTTAAAGATGAACCTGTGGCTGCTTCTTACTCTCACTGCTCTGGCTGAATATGCTTACCAAACGAGAGGCACCCACTCGTGCCCAGATCTGTGCACTTGCTCCTTTCTACCTTCGAGTGCAGAGGTGGTGTGCCGCCAAAGCTCCCTCACATATTTTCCTGCAGATGGTTTATATCCCAACATCACACGATTGTCCATCCAGTCCACAAACCTCAGCTTCATTACAGCCAGACATCTGAGTTTTGTGCCTCTTTTAAACCACCTCCAGCTGTATCACACTAATCTTTCAAGCCTTCCTTCAGACCTACTGGGTGCCATTCCTCACCTGAGTACGTTGGATCTCACAGGTAATCAGCTGATTCATCTGCCCCCCAAAGTCTTCGGCCATTCCTTGCTCCGTAGTCTGGTGCTGAAGAATAATTTAATTGAAAAAGCTCATGGAGAGTGGTTTTCCGACAACAGCAGTCTCACCTGGCTGGATTTGTCTGGGAACCGTTTAACAAGCATTACAGCTGCTCTGCTTCAGAAGCTGCCTCATTTGGAAAATCTCGACCTAAGTCACAACCATCTGCAAGAGCTACAGCCCGACACACTAGCAAACCTACATCACCTCGAGACACTAAACCTCGCTGGGAACAAATTAATTTCCCTGAAGCCTTCAACGTTTAGTCACAACGTGAAACTCTCACAGCTGTTTCTGCAGGAGAATCAGCTCCGAGAGCTGCCAGTGACGCTCCTCCAGGGTCTGCAACACCTTGAACTTCTGCTGCTTAATCAGAATCGGCTACGGTATCTCCCCTCAGGTCTGCTGGATGACAGAAAATCCTCTTTTCAGATGACCGTAACAGGGAACCCCTGGCAGTGTGATGCCAACCTGGAGTATCTGTGGAAGTGGCTCACTAACCATCCTCAAAATGTCTTCTTTCTAGATGAGGTGGTTTGCGACAGCCCTGAAGCTCTGAAACATAAACAAGTCGTTTCTTTATCTGACAGTCAGCTTGATCCTAAATGACAGAGACTCACAATTAATGATGTGACTGTGAAACAGATGTTTTGCATTATTACTGCACATATAACCAGCCTGTTTCTTGTGAGCTGTCATGTATTCCCCCTTTGTTTAGATATTGTCCAGCCCACCGGGTGGCGTAAGATACTCAATAAATTTTCAACCCAGAGGGCTGGATAGGCAGTATGGCTCATTTACTCAGTATATCCCAGCCAAAAACATGTTAAACCAAATGCATTCACTAATACATTCTCACTGAATTGATTTTCTTTCAGGCTTGTTTTCTGTAAGATTTATAATCGCAGATTGAGATTAAGTAACCCAGGTTTAAACATGCTCTCACTTCCGTAAGGGATCAAACATATTTTCATGAATAATCAATTTATAGTCCAGAGATTAGGACCAGAAATGGACGTCCTTGGTAGAAGAGAAGAGAAGAGCTCTTGTGAGATTCTCATGGTGCACGCTTGCACCAACAGCTCTGTCTCGCTTGTTTGTTGTGTTGCAGATTGCAGCATTGTTTCAGTTGTGCCCTTTTGTTTTTAATGATGTTGAGCATGTGGGAGTGAGTGGGCAGTGCAATGGCTCAGTCTTGCAGCTGACCTCTTCTGGATGTGTTTAAATATCTCCCTTTTTCTTTCTTTAGGTTTCTTTTTTCTCTCTCTTTCTTTCATATTGTGTATGGGTATATATCTTCTGCATGCCCACACACCCCCATACTCACGCCTTGATCACAGTGAGTGCACTGGACTATAATTTATTACTTTTATAGCATATAAAACATTGGAGCCTCTTGAGGCTGTTACTTATGAAAATTAAACCTTGTTCATAAAAGTTCCCCAGAGAGTTGAAGAAGAACTCAAATGGATTCATGTATGTCTTCCATTCCACCTCTTTGAATTGTACCCTGAAGGTTAAAGGTTGAGGAAGTGGGCTCAGTGGTTCAAATCCTAATTCCCTCTAATGAAAATTCTCTCAGGTTGTGAGCAGATGCATTCAACTCTACCTTAACAACGTCCCTTTCTGTTAGTCTTTAATCTGCTTGTGCTTCTACAACCCACAGGCTCTGAGGTTTGGAAGTGTGTGGTAGTGGTGGGCATTACTTTGCAAGGAAAAATGAGGATGAAACTTTTCTAAGTGCTGATGAGCACAGAGGAATGGAGTCTGTCTAACTGTCTGCTAATGAAGAACACTAAAGTCTAATAGATCATATGTGAGGCTTGGAGACAAGAAAATTACTGTAGCCTTTCTGACTTTGTTCTGCAATAATGGAGATGTGATTTTCTTTGATTGCTGCTAATTAGCACATGTTAGAACACATTACTTGGGATGAAATGTGCCAAATTTAAAATAACATATTGTTTTATTTTTCACTATATTAGAGTTGCGGTCATTTCAGTGTGTTTTTTTTTTTTTAATCGGCAACAATAGTCTTGATTTCTTTTCTTCAGGATGTATCAATGAACTAGAACAGCTTGTTGAGACTCACATTTTATTCTGAATTGAGCAAAGAAGAAATACCTTGATTTTCATAGGAAGTTGTTTTTTGACTATGTACAACTGATTTTTCGCATTAAATTGACAGAATAATCTGCTGATCTTTTGTCCTCATTTCCATTTTCTTACTTTTTGTCCCTCTACAAGGACTCGAGGAAAACCACCTATGATTAGTTAAGTAGCCTAACATGCATGTGTTAGGACTGTGGATGGGATTCAGAGCACTCTGAGAAACCCCATCATTTATATTAAATGGCTTCAGCTCTACCTCTGTAATACATATCCAGTAAAAATGCCATAATATTGTACGCTGATATATAGATACAAATGCTGTCAAAGTACATTTTGCTGATAAAAGTACACTAAAAAGATTTAAGTGTACAAAGTTGTATTACTACTAAGCAAATTTGACATGTAAATGATATGTTGATGTATTTCTGGCATGTTAACCAAAAAGGTTACATCACACATGCAGCAGTCATTCATTTAGAAATGTGTTTTTAATGCAAATGTAAACTCTTTTTGCTGTGGTTTTGATCTCCACCATTCAGCCTACTCAGTATCTTCTACTGTCTGCTCTTTGGTCATGAGCAGGAAATGAATAATTGGTTTTCAGAGCCTTTTCTCAAAAGGGAGACAATGCTGTTGGACTGATATTGAATCTTCGACTGGAAAACCACGACAATGAGCCGAGTGACGCTTCAAAATTTGAGCCGAAGTAAAACAGAAGGTTAATAGTCTGCAGTGAGTTAGCATATTCTACTGTTCTAGTGATGGATGGATATTCCACAGACTTTAGAGAAACCAAAGTCATTATTAGTTCTGCATGTGAGTCAGATCGGGGAGGTTTTCAGCATCAGGGAAAGAGTTTTATGATCTCCGAGTTTGAAAAGTGTCGAAACAGATTAGAAAAAGGCTTGCATGTGACTCAGATGTGCCAAAGCTGCACTGCCATGACTTTGACGTCATTGTTTTGCAACTGTCAGTAAAACATGCCAGCACTGATAAAATGAACTGATATGTTTGTACGAGTGTGATTCAGATGGGTTGGTAAGCTTTGAACCAGTTCTTGATTCTGATCCTCGTTCACAACAGAAAAAAAGTTCTCCCTTAGTCTCACGCTTTTTCTTTTTTTAGTAACTGCTGCTCAAAACATTGAGGTATAATCAAGCGTACCATTATTTTATGCAGGGCACAAACTTAAGCTCAACCACAATCCCAGCAGATCATCTCAGGCCACATCAGCTAATGACCTAACTGAAACCCTTTTATGCATCCTATTGGACAATCTCAGTTTATGACTACAATTCAGGCAGCTTTGGCCTGCCTACATTTAGACCACCAATCCACTTTGCAACCCACCTTCTCTGATCTGTCCGACTCGATCAGTGTTTGTTCTTATCGCCTGATCTTCGCTGTGCTTGGAGCTCGCTGCTACTCCTCCTGCCTCTGGCTCTGGGGTTGTTTTTGTTTTTTACCTGTACTGATGTTGTTCACCTTTATTCCTCGGCTTTGATATTTCGTAGGTCTTACTCACCTTTTTATGCCGAGTGCGTTTGAGCTCGGGCTGTAATAAGAGAAAAGGTTGTTAGACTCATTAAAA